CCAGGAGCATGGCAGAATAGACCAGAGGAGCAAATAAGCACGGCAGAAAAAAAAAAACAAGAGCATAGCCAAGAAGATCCGACGACGGCAGAGCAGGCCCAAAGAACGAAGCAGCGCAACAGAGAAAACACCAAGAGCACGCCAGACAAGACTTCAAAAGAGAAGGAGCACGGCAGAAGAAGCCCCAAGAGCGAAGGAGCACGGCAGAAAAAACCCGGAGCACAGCAGAAATGACCGCAATAACTAAACAGCATGACAGAAAAAGACCAAGAGCACAACATAATAGGCCAGAAGAGCGAAGGAGCAAGACAGAAAAAACAAGGAGCATGGCAGAATATCCCCAATGGCGAAGGAACTCGGCAGAATAGAAGCACGATAGAACGGGCCCGAAGAGCGAAGGACCACAGCAGAAACAAACCAGGAGCACGACAAAATACCTAGGAATGAAGGGGAACGACAGAATGGCCCGACGAGCGAAGGAGGACGGCAGAACAGGCCCCAAGAGCAAAGGAGCACAGCAGAAAGAAGACCAGGAGCTCGCCAGAAAAAAACCTCAAAAGCGAAGGAGCACGGAAGAAGAAGCCCCAAGAGAGGAGGGGCACGGCAGGAAAAAAAGACCCGGAGCACAGCAACAATGACCGCAATAACTAAACAGCATGACAGAAAAAGACCAAGAGCACCACATAATTGGCCAGAAGAGCGCAGGAGCAAGGCAGAAGCAAAAAAAACAATGAGCATGGCAGAATATCCACAAGAACGAAGGAGCACGGCAGAATAGAAGCACGATAGAATGGGCCCGAAGAGCGAAGGACCACAGCAGAAACAGACCAGGAGCACGACAGAATCGCTAAGAATGAAGGAGAACGACAGAATAGCCCCAAGAGCGAGGAGCACAGCAGAACCGGCCCTAAGAGCAAAGGAGCACAGCAGAGGAAAGACCAGGAGCGCGGCAGGATAGACCCCAAAAGCGAGGGGGGCACGGCAGAATAAGCCCCCAGAGCGAAGGAGCAAGGCTGAAACAAAAAAAAGACAAGGAGCACGGCAGCATAGACTGCGAGAGCTAAGTAGCACGGCAAGATAAGACCAGGAGCGCGGCAGAATAGGCCCGACGAGAAAAGGAGCATGACAGGAAGGAACCAGGAGCATGGCAGAAAATATTCCAATACCAAAGGAGCACGACAGAATAAGCCCGAAGAGCGAAGCAACACGACATAGAAAAGACCAAGAGCACGCCAGAAAAGACCTCAAAACGAAGGAGCACGGCAGAATAAACCCCAAGAGGGAAGGAGCACGGCAGAACAACTAACGACCAGAGCATGGCATCATAGACCGCAAGAGCTAAGGAGCACGGCGGGATAGGGAAGACCAAGAGCACGGCAGAATAGACCCCAAAAGCGAAGCAGCACGGCATGATAAGCCCCAAGAGCGAAGGGGCGCGGCAGAAAAAAAAAGACCAGGAGCATGGCAGCATAGACCGCAAGAGCTAAGGAGCACGGAAAGATAAGACCAGTAGCGCGGCAGAAAAGACCCGACGAGCGAAGGAACAAGGCAGAACAAAACCAGGGGCATGGCAGAAAAGATCCCAAAACCAAAGGAGCATGACAGAATAAGCCCAAAGAGCGAAGCAACACAACAGGGAACAAACAGCAGCACGAAAAAAACAAAAAAAAACTCGAAAGCGAAGGAGCACGCGAGAATAAAAACCCTACGAGGGAACGAGCACGGCAGAGAAACTAACTACCCAAGCACGGCATCATAGACCGCAAGAGCCAAGGGGCACGGCAGGACAGGGAAGACCAGGAGCACGGCGGAATAGGCCCCAAAAGCGAATGAGCACGGCGGAAGAAGCCCCCAGAGCGAAGGAGCACGGCAGAAAAAAACGACCAGGAGCACGGCAGCATAGACCGCAAGAGCTAAGGAGCACGGCGAGGTAAGACCAGGAGCGCGGCAGAATAGAACCGACGAGCGAAGGGCGACGGCAGAAACCAAACAGGAGCATGGCAGGAAAAAAAATACCGAAGGACCATGGGATAATAAGCCCAAAGAGCGAAGCAACACAACATATAAAAGACCAGCAGTACGACAACAAACGTCAAAAACGAAGGAGCACGGCAGAATGAACCCCAAGGAGAAAGAGCACGGGGGGGGGGGGAAGAAAGAAAGAAAGACAACACAAAAAAAAAAAAAAAAAAAAAAAAAAAAAAAAAAAAAAAAAAAAAAAAAAAAAAAAAAAACGACGCGAGCACGGCATCGTAGACCCCAAGAGCGAAGGAGCACGGTCGAACAAAAAGACCAGGAACACGACAGCGTAGACCGCAAGGGCTCAAGAGCACAGCAAGATAAGACCAGGGGAGCGGCATATTAAACCGACGAGCGAAGGGGAACACGAAAGACCAGAACACGGTCTAGGAGCACGGCAGCATAGACCGCAAGAACAAAGGAGCACGGAAGGAAAAGACCAGAAGTGCAGCATATTGCCAGCATCAAGAGGGAAATGCTGCCCCCTAGCAAATTCAGGATTTTTTTTTTTTTTTTTTTTTTAAAACAAAAAAAAAAAAAAAAAAAAAAAAAAAAGATTAACTATCTCAGGTTCCTAGGGGGGGGTCCCTTGCGGCGATATTGGTGCCTCTTCTGGGTCTCCTGGAGCGTATTTAAATTTGTTGGAGAAATCTTCAGGTGTAATCGCGTGGTCATCTAGAACGATCTTGAGGGCCTTATTCAAACGCACTCCTTGAACGCATTCCCTGAGAAGGGTCGCTTCATGAACCCAACGTGTGAAATGAAATACGCCGTGTTCCTGTGTGGTCTGCCGTGCTCCTGCGTGGTCTGCCGTGTTCCTGTGTGTTCTGCGGTGCTCCTGTGCATGCTGCCGTGCTCTCGTGTGTTCTGCCATGTTCTTACTTGTTCTGCCATGCTCCTGCGTGTTCTGCCGTGCTCATGCGTGTTCTGCCGTGTTCCTGTGTGCTCTGTCTGTTTTGCCGTGCTTCTGTGTATTCTGCCCTGCTGCTGCGTGGTCTGCCGTATTCCTGCGGTTTATGCCGTGCTCATGTGTATTATGCCGTCCCTCGTGTGTTCTGCCATTTCCCTGCTTCTTCTGCAATGCTCCTGCGTGCTCTTCTGTGCTCCTGCGTGTTCTGCCGCTTTCCCGTGCGTTCAATCATGTACCTGCTTATTATGCCATGCTCCTGCGTGTTAAAATTAACATTAAAGACGGGGCCTTCAAGGCGGAGTGGTGGGCAAAAAAACCAAAAGACACGCTCACCCGAGAGGGGCCGCCTAGGGCCGCCTCTCGCGGGGGCCCCGCAGGGCCACCCATCCGAGAGGGCCACCTAGGGCCGCCTCTCGCACTCCCAGCGGGGCCGCCTTGGGCCGCCGCCCACCGTGAACTCGGCTGCGACTGAACACAGGAGTCTTCGCTCACAGGAAAAACAGCTCTACACACGAACACACGAATGCAACTGCATGCCAACCTCACTCACTCACTCGCCTCCCGCGATTCCTGCACTCCGAGGGCGGCTCGGGATCGGCCCCGCCACGCTCCTCGAGCTGCGGAAGCGGCGGCGCGCCAACTCCCGAACTCGCCGCGTCCACCCGAGCGCGGCGCCGCACGAATGGACGGGTCGTTCGGCCAGGGTGCTCCTGGCCCCAGAGCCCCATCTGCTTCTCCACGCCCTCGACAAAGGAAACGTCGCTCAGGATGCCGACGCTGACCTGCCGCAGAGCGCTCTCCTCGCACGTGCTGGCCGCGGCGTTGTGGCTGATGACGTTGGGCACTGTCAGCGCCCTGCTAACCGCCTGCGTGCCGACCGCCACGCCCGAGAACACCGCGGCCCCGCACGTGCATCGAATGCCCGCCTCCACGTCGCAGCGCCCGCCGCCCGCGGCACGGGGCGGCAGCGCAAGGGCAGTCGCCCCCCGCAGGGGCTCCCGCAGGGGCCCTGGCACGGCACCTGCTGCCAGCTCCGCGTCGCACGACTCCACGGAGTCCACGTCGTCGACGGCGACCTCGTTGCGCGGCAGGGCCTCCCAGCAGCCTGCGGACGGCGCGAAGTCCAGCACGTCGACGTTGTGGGGAAAAGCCAGGCGCCTCCAGGAGGCACGGCGGCTGCCGCGCGCGAGACGCCGACCGCGCTGCGCCTTGCGCCATGCAGCCGGAGGGTCAGACTCCTCAGGGCATACCGCGGCGTGCAGGGCCACATTGCGACGAAGAACTTCCCAATCTGCAGCTGGGGTCTCCTGCGCCAGTGCGCACAGGGCGGGGCGCGCAATGCGCTCGCGGCGCGCCACCTCCCTGGCCGCGCCATCTGGAACAGCAGGGCCCGCAAGAAGGTCGCGGAGACGGGCGCACTCGTGCTGCGCCTCCGCGAGCCTGTTCTTCAGCTTGAAAATGAGCGCGTCAGCAGCCGCCTGGACGCGCCGCGCCGCATCGCCACGCTCGCGCCGCGAGCGGGGGAACCGCAGAGGGCCCCCTCCCGTGGCCACCTCTCGTTCAAGCAAGCCTGAACCGAGCTGGCTTGAGCCAAAATGGCTACGGATGCTCCTGCGTGTTCTGCCGTGCTCCTGTGTGTTCTGCCGTGTTCCTGTGTGCTCTGTCTGTTTTGCCGTGCTCCTGCGGGTTCTGCCGTGCTTCTGCGTGGTCTGTCGTGTTCCTGCGGTTTATGCCGTGCTCATGTGTATTATGCCGTGCTCTTGTGTGTTCTGCCATTGCCATGCTTCTCCTGCCGTGCTCCTGCGTGTTAAAGTTAAAGTTACAGACGAGGCCTTCAAGGCGGAATGCCCCTGCGTGTTAAAGTTAAAGTTAAAGACGGGGCCAAGGCAAGTGGCGGCCAGAACGCCGGCAGGCCCAGACGGGGCCCGCGTCCCCGAAAGAGGCCGCGCCAGGCGGGCACCCAGGGCGGCGGAAGCATGCGCAGCCACAACGATGCACTGGGCGACACACTCACTCACTCACTCGCACGCTGCGCGCCACGGCGGGCGATGCGGCGGCGTACCCTGCGGTCCTCCAGGGCACCGACCGCTGACATGGCCGCGGCGGCGAGCTCATCCTCCGCGACACCGGAGGCCCCAAGGAGGGCCGCCCTCGCTGCGGCTGGCCGCCGCAGAGGCAGGCTGGCGTCGGCGGCCGCCGCGGGCGCGACCGCGGGCGCCAACGCAGGGCCCCGCACCTCAGCGGGCGCCGCGGCCGCCGCGGAGGCGCTGCCTGCCGAGCTCGCAGCAGCCGAGGGGCCGATCTCTGGCTCCGCCACAATGCCGAGCCACTCCAGGTACTGCCCCTGCGCATGCTCTGGCAGCGGCCCCTGCGATCGCAGAGCAGGGATGCCTTCTCCTTTCACTCTGTGCCGGGCAGTTCGGGGTCCTTCTTGCCTCCTGCCACCAGGATGGAGTCCCCGAAGCCACAGGCTGCGCTGGTCCCTGCCACCCTTGTCGGCCTTGCCGCCTGGGCAATGCCCCTTGAGGCGAGGCCTTACGCCAGAGCGACTGCGACTTCCCTGCGTCATGTAGGCGCCGCACTTGGTGCACGCCACGAGCTCCTGGGTCCCGCCCCCCTCTCCCGAGCAGGCGTCGGCGAGGGCATGTCCCAGGATGCTGAAGGCTGCAGCGCTGGCCGAGAGGGCGGCAGTGCTGCTGCTAGCCGAGCGGGCGCTCTCCAGGCGCGGCCGCTTGGCGCTCGGCGCAAGGCTAGCGGCCTCCTCTGCTGCCTGCGACGCCTCCGCAGCGGCGAAGCGAACCTGGCGTCGCTCAGCCGCAGGCGGCAGCCCCTCACAGTCCTTGGCCGCGATGTCCTGCCAGAGGATGGCTGCCCGACTGATCCAGCGCCCGAGCTCCAGCACGATCTCCGCCAGCGCGCGGTGCTCGCCGACCGTCTGCCTGTCCACTGCGTGCATCAGGGCCCCCATCTTGGCAAGGCGGTCGGCATGCTCGCTGCCGCGCCGCTGGGCCTCCGTCACGAGCCCGTCGAGCACCGCCTGTCTTGAGCAGTGGGCTGGCACCTTCCTCGCAGCAAAGGTCCCTGGCACGAGGCATGCCAGGATCCTGCCCCACAGATGGGCGTTGGCCCTGCTGGGCTTGGTCGCGTATGCACGCCCCCTGCGCAGGCAGGTCACGGTGGAGCTGCAGTCGACGTTGACTTCCTCGACTGCTGGCCCAGCAAAGGTGGCGAGCATCCACGCGGCGAAGTCCTCGCCGTCCTTGGCCGTCTGCTGCGGGCAGAGGTCTCGCCTGACGGTGCCGTAGGCCCCTGCGACCAAGTTGCCGCCATCGTCGCACTGTGCAATGGCCCACCCCGCGCGGCGGAGGGCACTGAACTGCGGCTCGAGGGCAGAGCCGTCCAAATACAGCTTGCCGTTGAGCTTCTCGTCGGCTGGCCTGCTGACCCACTGCGCCCACATGGCGTCAGTGCGGCGACCCTGGGGCGGCGCTGGGGCAGGCAACCAGCAGCGGGCGAAGTTCTCGCCAACGCGCTCCCCGTGGGCCCTCGCTCTCTCCGCACACCTCTTGAGCCGTGCGTGCGCTCCGTCGCGCCGCTGGGGCTCAAGCACGGGGCACTCGAACAGGCGGTGCCACAAGGTGCCTCGCTCGGCCCCACAGCGGCAGCAACACGCGTGCCGCCGCTCTCCTGCGTCGAAGAGTCTGGCCTGCGTCCAGTGCGTGTTGGAGACGTAGGCCCCCGGCGCATTCTGCCCCCTCACGCTCCGCTCGCTGTCGGGCCCGAGCAGCCGCCCGATGGCGTCCCAGTGCAGGGGCCGCTGCAGGAGGGGGCCGTGGCTGAGCTTCCGCATCTCGCGGCGATCGGAGGCACGCCTGGCGGCCTGGCGCCGAGGCTAGCCTCCAGCCCTAGCCCCCGAGGCCCGAGGAGCAAGAGGCCGAGTTGGTCGCCAAGGTCCGTGACGAGGTAGCGCTCGGACTTGAAGTGCCAGCCGATCCGGGCGAGGGTCAGCGCCGCCGCGTCGATGGGGGAGGCGCAGTGCTTCCACGGCGTGTCGGCAGCTGCGTGCCTGGCTGCCGCCGCCTCGAGCCCCCGCGCCATCATCCTGTGCGGCAGCTCGGCAGACTGCAGGAGGCTCGCAAGCATCTGGACCGCATGGCCCGCCGTGAGGGCTGCGGGGCCCAGGTCGCGCCAACTCCTGAGCTCGGCGCATCGCATGCGGAGCCCAAGCGCGGCGCCCATGGGGAGCGCCCCTGCACTGCGGCACGCTGCGAGCCTCCAGCTGCGCAGCTCACCGTCCGCGACGCCCGTGACCGCGCGCCCCCACGCCATGCTGGCTGCGGGCCCAGCCTTGTGGATGAGGTCAACCCCCACGCCCGCAGCTCGCAAGCGGCCCAGCCTGCGCGCGCGGCGAAGCGCCCCAGCAGCACGGACACGGCCCTCATGCACACCCCTCCTCGTGATGGTGGCGTCCGTGCCGAGGCTCCTGGCCTGCAAGGTCTTACGGGAGGTCCAGCCCTGCGACTTCCAGAACTCACCCAGCTGGGGCCCCAGGCTGGGGCTCGAGGCGAGGAAGGTCGTCTTGGCGGCACTGATGGGCAGGTGCTGGCTACGGAGGATGCACGCCACTTCCAGCCCAGCCGCGCCCAGCTGCGCAGCGACCAGACGCTCCGCGCCGACGGCCTGCAGCGCGATATCGTCGACGACGTTGCGCGCCGCCGCCGGCGGCCTGCCTCCCGCCGAGGCCGCGCGCAAGGCAGCAAGCACGGGCAGCTTGGCCACCGCGGTAGCGCACGCACACCCTGCGAGGACCGTCCCGCTGGTGGTGGAGGACTCGGTGGCCATGCCCACGAAACAAAGGAACCGCGGGCTCTGGTAGAGCACGAGGAAGCCGCGCAGCAACTTCAGGTTGAAGCCGTGCTCGATCCCGCACTGCCACAGGACGTCATGGCGCAAGTTCTCGTAGAACTCGGTGACGTCCAGAAAGAGGCTGGCGGCGGCAAAACCGTGCTCCCGCGCATAGGCAGCGAAGGCGTTGTGCAGCCAGCCCGCCTTCTCGCAACCGCGGTCAGCCTTGCCCCAGAAAAAGCGGTGGTCGTGCTCCGCCTCCCACAGCGCACAGATCGGCTGTCTCAGGCGGCTCCAGATGCGCATGAGCAGCGGGATCAGAGCAATCGGTCGGGCCCCTCCGTCAGCCTTGGGGATGAAGACCATCATGGTGGCCTGGCCGCCCAGGGCCTGGGGGCGCTCCTCGCATGCCTCCAGGAGGTCCAGGCACCGCCGCTGCAGGGCCACTGGGAGCAGCAGCAGCTGCCGCGGGTGGAGCTGGTCTGCCCCCAGGCCTGCCGTAGGCGAGTAGCGCCTGCAGACAGCCTGCAGCAACTCCAGGCTGAGGGGAGGCAGGGTCGCTCCTCGGACGCCCCAGCTGCCGGCTCCAGCACTCGCTTGGAAGCCCCCCTGCTGCCAGAGGGCCTGCCAGTTGGCCTCCAGCTGCCCGACTGCCAGCATGCCAGCCAAGGGCCTGCCAGTGTCAGGGTCGACCACCTGTGGGGGCGGCACCGCCTTGGCGAACCTATGGGCCAACCTGCCACCCTTCTGCACTGCTTCCTTGGCCCATGCTCGCCAGGCGGCCGAGCTCTTGCACCCATCTCGCTTCTGGGAACATGCGAGGCGCCGCTGCAGCACTGCAATCGCCTCTGGGTCTCCGTGAAGGCCAGCCTGGCTAACTAGGTCGCCCCACTCACTGGCGTCGAACTCGAGGGCCTCGACCTCGTCCTCCTCGCAGGCGGCGACCGTGGCAGCCTCCACATCGGCGAGGACCCGCTCGACCTGCCGCTCGTGCCAGGCCTCGTGCGCGGGCTGCCATCGCTTCGTCTTGTCCGCAGTGAGCCTCTGGAGGGCGACGTCGAGGGCCTGGCGGATGGCGCGGGTGAGGGCCGAGTGCCGGTGGCGGTACTCGCGCTTGACCACGGCGCTGAGGGGCTTGAGGGCAACCTTGGGCCCCGCAGCCCGCCCAAGGTACCTGGGCAGGTCGGTGTCGTCGATGCCGTGGGTTCCCACCAAGGTGCTCTCGACGACTTGGATCCACTGCCGAGCGGCCTCGGAGGCGTCGCTCGGCTGGGGGCCTACCTCCCAGGTCCAGCTGCAGGGCTCCGCTTGCCAGCGGGTGCGCCCCACGCGGCGGTGTACCTGCACTGCTGCATCCTCGTGCGGACGGCACTCGGCAGCGTCGACATCAGGAAAACTGCTAGGACGCACAAGCACCTGCACCAGGGCGTCGGGCCCCACGCCCTGCAGCAGCAGCCTCACAGGCTTGCGCGGGCGCAGCCCAAAGCCATCCAGAGCCGAGGCCTCCCTGACGCCGTGGGCAAGGCAGAAGGAGCCCACGAACCAATCGTACACATGCTCCGCCCCTTGGGCCACACATGTGCACTCGGCAGGCCCCAAGTACGTTCCGCGCTGCACACGAGGCCAGCCCAACTCGTGCAGCGCGCCAGGCTCCATGTTGAAGTCGCCCTGCGCGAGCCAGGGCATGCCCTCGGACAGCACCAGGTCGCCGAAGGCCGCGAAGATGTCGAGGTTGATGCCCCTGGGCCCGAGGGCGTCCTGCAGGTGCAGCGAGCACGCCAGGAACTGCAGCCCAGGCGCCGTGGCGATCGTGACCCCGATCATGCAAGTCACACGGCACCGCCCACGCACTCTCCGCAGCCTGCAGGTCGCTGCGCACCAGGGTCGCCGCGCCCCCTGAGTTCGCGAGCGGGCCCTCCTTGTCCGCGGGCGCGGCTGCGTGGAGGAACGCCGCGTACCCCGCGCGGCGCGCCGCGCTCCTGGCCTCCTCCAGGCGGAGCGGCGCCAGGCGAGTCTCCTGGAGCATTACCAGGTGCGGCCTGGCACCATGCCGATCGATGTAGGCCTCGAGGACCTCCAGGCTCCTTCTCCACGCGTTGCCGTTGACCCCGAGCACCTCCAGCCCGCATCGGACATCCAGGGCTGCCGTTGACGCTTGGCCTGGCGCCCGTGGGCCCTGGGCCCTCCCGAGGTCGAGGGGCCGCTGTCCTCCGATGCGGGCTGCATCGGCGCCGCCGCCCGCTCTCTGCCGCGGCTCAGCCGCTCTGGTGCTGCTAAATTCACGACCTCCCTGGCCTCGATCCTCCGCTGCCACTCGTGGCTGCAGGCCCAGCAGGGCGAGGAGCAAGAGGGGCCAGGTCAGCAGCCTCGGCCACCAGCTCCCGCTTGGACGCCTGGGCGACCTTCGGCCACTCGCCGCGGGCATCGCCGCGGCGCTCTGCCTGGCCGCGCTCCGCAGCGCTCTGCGGCTGCCAGGGCTCGGTCGCTCCAGCGTGAGTGCTGTCCTCGCTGCTGACCTCCTCCACGGGGCATGAGTCCGCCCATGGCGCCCTTCTTGGCGCAGCAAGGGCTTGGGCGAGCAGCGTGCGCACGGCCTCCACTTGGGTCGGAATGGCTGCCCATGCCACCTCGAAGTTGCTGGATCCCCAAGCCTCAGGCAGCTTGTCCAGCTGCGCGAGGAGCCCAGGGACCTCGATAGACCCTGCCCACTCCGCAGCCCGCTGACGCCGCTGCGCCTCGGCTTCCGCCCTAGCGTCCTCTTCGCGGGCGCGGACGGTGCGGGATGCCTCCTCCAACTCTGCGCCGAGCTGCGCCAGCTCCTGCTGGACCTTCTGGAGCCTGGCCTCGGCGAGGTCGCGCGCCGCCTGCTTCTGCTGCAGGCTCTGGCGCGCGGTGCGGAGCCGCCTCTCTCCCTTGCTGATGGCGTTCGCCTCCTTGCGGAGCAGCGTCGACCGCGGCAGGGGGGATGCCTTCTGCTCCGCCGCAGCCCGCTGGGCAGCGCCCAGCTCGGCGCGCTTGGCCCCCAGCTGGCTGGCGACGACGTCGGTGAAGCTGCCGTCCACGCCGTCGGGCGGCTCAGCCTGCAGCGCCTCCAGCTGCTCGACCACTGCCTGCAGCCTCTCGATCGCCGTGGCGTCGCCGCCGCTGGGCGTCCCGCTGCCGCCCGACGCCGTGGTCTGCGACTCGGTGGATGCCGCGCTCGCAGCCGCACTGCGGGCCTGCCTCTGGGCACGGCGCCCCCGTGGCTGGTCCACCCAGCCGCCCTTGTCCGCCTGGGGCCTAGCCCTGGCGGCAGCAGCATCCAGCATCCACGGTGGTGCCGAGTAGCCGCAGCCGAGGCACGTGGCACGCCAGTCCCCGGTCCAACCTCCGCAGCTGCACATCCAGTACGTCTTGCTGCGCCTGCTGCCACCACCGCCGCAGCGCGCGGGCCGCGCCATGGCCACTGCCGCACGGGCCGACAAACTGCGCCTCCGCGCGGGGACAACAAGGAGCGAAACAACGAATTGCACTGGCCCAAAGCGAAGAGACCCTCGCGCCCAGAACGCCGCGGACGACTTGCGGTCGTCGGGTGCTCCATGGCCTTGAGCCAAAATGGCTGCGGATGCTCCTGCGTGCTCTGCCGTGCTCCTGCGTGTTCTGCCGCGGTCCCGTATGTTCTATCATGTGCCTGCTGGTTCTGCCGTGCTCCTGCGTGTTCTGCCGTGCTCCTGTGTGTTCTGCCGTGCTCCTGTGTGCTCTGTCTGTGTTGCCGTGCTCCTGCGAGTTCTGCCGTGCCCCTCTATACTCGGCAGAATCAACCCCAAAATCTAAAGAGCACGGCAGAGAAAGACCAGGAATACGGACCCCAAGAGCAAAGGACCACGGCAGAAGAAGACAAACAACACGGCAGAATAGCCCCTAATAGCGAAGGAACACGGCAGAATAAGCCCCAGGAGCGAAGGATCACGATAGAAAAAACCAGGAGCACGGCATAATAGACCATCTAGGACGATCGTCAGGGCTTTATTCCACCTCATTCGTTGACAAGAGTCGCAGCGTCCACCAAGCATGTGAGACGAAATATGCAATGTTCCTGTGTGGTTTGCCGTTCTCCTGCGTGGTCTGCCGTGTTCCTGTGTGTTCTGTCGTGCTCCTGTACATTCTGCCGCGCTGTTGTGTGTTCTGCCATGCTCCTACGTGTTCTGCCATGCTCCTGCGTGTGCTGCCGTGCTCCTGTGTGTTTTGCCGTGTTCCCGTGTGTTCTGTCTGTTTTGCCGTGTTCTTGCGTGTTCTGCCGTGCCCCTCTATGTTCGGCAAAATCAATTCCAAGAGCTAAAGAGCACGACAAGAATAACTAGGAATACGAACCTCAATCGCAAAGGACCACGGCCAAACAAGACACAGCGCACGGCATAATAGACCCCAAGACCGAAGGAGCACGGCAAATTAGGCCCCAGGAGCGAAGGAGCATGATAGAAAAAAAAACAGGAGCACGACAGAATAGACCCCAAGAGCTGAGGAGCACGGCAGAATAGGGAATAGGCGCCAGGAAAGAAGGAACATTGCAAAACGCGACCAGTGACCAAGAACATGGCAGAATAGACCGCAAGAACTGATGAGCACGGCAAGATAGATGCAAGAATACGGCATACTACGCCCCAAGGAAGGAGTATGCAAGAAAAAGACAAGGAGCACGGCATAATAAACCCCGAAAGCGAAGGAGCACGACAGACTATGCCCCAAGAGCTAAGGAGCACGGCAGAAAACAACCAGGAGCACGGCATCAGAAGCCCCAAGATCAAAGGACTGTGACAGAAAATGGCCAGGAGCATGGCAGAATAGGCCCGAAGAGCGAAGGAGCACGGGACAAAAAAAAGCAAGGAGCATTTCAGAATAGACCCCAGGAACGAAAGAGCACGGCATAATAGACGTCAAGAGCGAAGGAGCACGGCAGAACTGCTCATTCTCTGTCTTGCTCTTTTTTCGCCAGCCATGCTCCGCCCGATTGGTTGATGATGTATGCAGCGAGAGCGCGATGTTTAACACGAGAGGTAGTGAAAACGCCACTCCAAGATATCAGTTTTGTTAGGATGTCTCAGGCGAGACGCTCGTTTTTGAACATCTGTCGAATTCGCGGCTTCCCATGTTTAAAGGATGTCTCAGGCGAAACGCTCATGTTTGATGAAATCGATGTTGTGAACAGCTCATTTTTGTAAGGATGTCTCAGGCGAAACCGCCATTCTGGATCGTTTCGAGGGCGCTCCTGGGGGTCAAATTTGGGCTTGTTTGGGGCCTTTGGGTGCCTTCTTGATGCCTTACAAAACCGTTACAGTCCGATGTTACACACATCCATTTTTTCAGGATGTCCCTAGCGCAATCGTCATTTCTAGATGACTGGCTTAAACCATCTAGAAGCCTTTTCAGGAGCGATCCCAAGACGATGTTAAACCAGCAGTTGTCAAACCGATGTTGTTCGATGTGGTTTTTTTGAAGATGTCCCTAGCGAAATCACTATTTTCAGCAACCGTAAGGTCGCTCTTGGAGCCATGTTGTGGTCTTCTTTTGCTTCCTGATGCCCTCCTAAAATCATTACGATGCGATGTCGCACGCATCAATTGTTTGAGGATGTCCCTACCGAAATCGACATTTTTTTGAAGGCTGCCTTGGGCCGTTTGGAAGCCTTGTTCAGAAGCAAAGTCAAAACTATGTAAGAACAACAGTTGTCAAGTCGATGCTGGTGTATGTTTTCACTTTTTGAGGATGTCCCTAGCGAAATCGCTATTTTCGGAAGTCCCCCAATCGTTCTGACAGCCATCTTGACATGCTTGTTGGCCTCTCATTTCGTCATCTTGAGGTACTTCGAGAACGATATCAAGACGACGTTGAGGACATCTCATTTTGTTGAGGATGTCCCTAGCGAAATGCAAATGTTCTGCCGTGCTCTTCGTTCTGGTCCGCCGTGCTGCCGCTCGTTTTCTGAGGATGTCCCTAGCGAAATCGCAATTCTCAACATAAGAGTTAGTTAAAGACTTCAGTCGTGATCTCATGTTTTCGAGGATGTCCCAAGCGAAACGCACATGTTCACAGACGGCGACATTTCGCTGTCATCAACTTTTCGAGGCTGTCTCGAGCGAAACGCTTGTTTTTGTTAAACGCGATGTCGCGGAGATCTCATTGTTGTGAAGATGCCTCACGTAAAATCGCCATCCCGAGGAATCCGCTAAGCCTGTATACCGTGCGACCCGCCCCCCTATAGTTAAGAGATCTCTTACTGATATGAGGAGGATTCAACCAACACGTCCAACTCGCTTCTCGTTCCTCGAAGACGCTTCCCGTCATCCCTCCTTCCCCTGCTCTGGGGAGGGGAGTTTCACTGTTCCCTATTAATATAGCCCACCTTCTCCAGGCGACTGGCAGCCAACTAAGAAAAATGATGACCCCATGAACACACCCGCCCCACCTTCCTTGTCAACCAACTATACAAGACGCACTCTGCCTCTACATTTGGAGCATGAGCGCGGTCAACCCGATGCACCCCCCCCACCCTTTTCAAAAACAATAGAAAGTATTTTGGGGCAAAGTCTTGAGTCATGCTCGTGGGGCCCGCCAGCACTTTGTATCGTTCTTGATGGGAGCGGCGGGAGTGTCAGCATATTGCCTGCTGTGCGCTGGGCGACCATCCCTGACAACAACAACAAAACCAAATGCAACTCGCGGCTGGACCTGGATCATGCGCGGCCCCCCCCGCGATCATTGACAATTGGTTTTTGATAGGGACGGCGGGGGTGGTGGCGTATGGCCTGCTGCGCGCAGGCCCACCAGACAAAATGATGGGCAGTGTTTTTCCCCACATGCGAAGTGGGGCTCTTGTTATCTCTGGACACACCGTACAGGAACACACAGGAACACACACTCACTCACACTCACACTCACTCACACACAAAACATCTTCACCACCTTGATTATCACTCGATCACACACTCGCTCGCCCACTTACTCATCACCTGCATCATCCTCATGGTCATCAATCAGTCAGTCATTCATTCACCCATTCAATCACCCACCCATTCGCTAGCTTGAATCTGGGGGAAGTATCAAGCGGAAGCCTCGTCTTTGAGCGAAGTGCGAGGAAGTCTCAAGCGGGAGCCCTATGGGGCCCGCACCTCATGTTTTTAATCCGATCGGGTCATCCTCAACCCTGTAACTGTCGTCACTTTGGGGCTCCCGAGGCCTGAATATGGAGGAAATATCAGGCCGGGAGTCCCGTATGTGAGTGAAGTGCAAGGAACTCTCATGCGGGAGCCACCGTTTTTGGGGGAGCGCACTCCGCCGTTTTAATCCCAGCGGGTCATTCTCAACCTTGTAACTGTCGTCACGCTGGGGCTCCCGAGGCCTGAATACGGAGGAAGTATCAGGCGGGGAACCTCGTCTGTGAGTGAACTGCGGGGAAGTCTCACGCGGGAGCCCCCTCCCTGTGGGGCCCGCGCTTCATGTTTTTTTATCCGAGCGGGTCATCCTCAACCCTGTAACTGTCCTCTTTTTGGGGCTCCCGCGGCGTGAATATGGAGGAAATATCAGGCCGGGAGTCTCGTCTGTGAGTGAAGTGCCTGTCGTCCCTATGGGGTTCCCGAGGCTTGAATATGAAGGAAGTACCAGGCGGGCAGGCTGCAAGAAATCTCATGCGGGAGCCCCCTCCCTGTGGGGCCCGCGCTTTATGTTTTGAATCCGTGCGGGTCATCCTCGAACTTGTAACTGTCGTCACTTTTGGGCTCCTGGAGCCTGAATATGGGGAAGTATCCGGCGGGAGACTCGTCTGTGAGGGAACTGCGCAAAAATACCAGGCGGGAGCCCATTTCCTACGGGGCCCGCATTCCATTTTTTTTATCCGAACGGGTCACCCTCGAAACTGTAATTGTCGACACTTTGGGGCTCCTGAGGCCTGTATATGGGGGACGTCTCAGGAGGGAGCCTCGTGCGAGTGAAGCGCGAGGAAATCTCAGGCGGGAGCCCTCTCCCTATGGGGCCCGCACTTCATGTTTTGAATCCGAGCGGGTCATCCTCAACCACCTTGCAACTGTCGTCATTTTGGGGTTCCCGAGGCCTGAATATGGAGGAAGTATCAGGCGGGAAACCTCGTCTGTGAGTAAACTTTGAGGAAGTCTCAGAGGGGACCCCCCCCCCCCTATGCGCTCTTCAGAGGGCGACTCGCCCGACCCATCATGTGAGGAGGAAGAGGAGGAACAAGAGATGAGGACGACGACGGCGGACGGGCGCAAGGGGAAACTCTTGCGTCCGGGCCGGGGGCGGTAACCCATCCTCGGCCGAAGCGGGGGCAGAAGGAAACCATCGTCTCCGGGCTGGTGGTGGTAACCCATCGTCAGCCGAATCGGGGGCAAAGGGAAACCCTTGTCTCCGGGCTGGCGGTGGTAACCCATCGTCAGACGAATCGGGCGCAGGGGGGGGGGAACCCTGGCGTCCTGGCCGGGGGTGGTAACCCATCCTCGGCCGACTCGGGTTCGCCGCAAAGCTTGGCTTCGTGCTGCATCCCGCCTGAGCGCGGCCGTGACTAGCTCGGTGCATGCAGGGTTGTCCCAACGGCACGGCTTGCTCCCGCGCCCCAATGGCTCGCGCGGTTGCCCCAACGGCCTGGCCCGCGGGGTTGTCTCAACGGCCGGGCGACGCGGACATTCGAGAATGCGCCCGCGCTGGCCGAGGAGACGACGGAGGCGAGGCAAATCGACGCGCGCACTCTTGCAATAGACAGGGGAGGAGGTGGTTGGTGACGGAACAAACAGCAGGAGGGCGAGGCAAAGGCAACGCGGGGAGCGGGTGAGGGCCCTTCGCAAGGACTAATGAAGGCGCGGCTGGAGTATGCGGCACACCTGGCGCACGCGGAGCGCGTGGCGCATCTGGCGCACCAGGCGTGCCTGGCACGCTCGGGCCCCAGACGTGCCTGGCGCGCGTGGCGCGCCTGGCACGCGTGGCGCACCTCGCCCCAGAGTCGCGCACATGGGGTCGGTGTTGGTTCCCAGCAGCTGTCCATCCAAAGGCGACCGCAGAATATGCGCAGGCTCGGATGCTACTTATGTGTTGGGAGTGCGGGTGGGAGTGAGATAGACGGCTTGCTATCTAGGAGGGTGTCTTGACGCCTACCCCTGTCCCCTCCCCTGGGCCTGGGAGGAGGGGGGGCGAGGCGTTGGAGCTGCCAAGATCGCCCAAGATGGCTCCGGGAGGGCCTCAGAAACCCCAACATGGCCTTCAAGATGGCTCAAGACAACTCAAGATGGCTCAGGATCGCCGCCGACGCACATTCGGGAGGCCTCAAGACGCCTCCCCGAGCCCTCAAAGGACCCCCCCGAGAGGCAAACATGGCTCCAGACCCTAAGAACAAGAACGGTTCCAGAAGGCCTCAAAACGACATGTTTGAGCCTCCGAGGGGGGAGGGCCTACCGAGGAGGACATGTTGACTAAGCCCAGCGGACCACGGGGAAGAGTACGCAGACCCACCAGGCCCTTGCTGCTTCGAGGTGACCAGTGGGCTGCTGCTCCTCCTCCTCCTCCTCCTCCTCCTCCTCCTCCTCCTCCTCGCCCCCCCGCCCGCTGTCCCCCCCTCCCCGACACGGGGGCGCGCAGGGGCCTTGCCCTCCTCGTGCTCGACGGCGTCCGCGAGGAGCAGTGCCGCGGGCGTGTGCGTGAGGCCTTGGCGCCACCGCAAAGGAAAAACTGGCGACTCGCCACGAAACGCTGCTGCTTCGACCATGGGCCCCTCTGTTCCCCAGCTGCCCTCCTCGTGCTCGACGGCGTCCGCAAGGAGCAGTGCCGCGGGCGTGTGCGTGAGGCCTCGGCGCCACCGCAGCGGAAAAGCTGGCGACTCGCTACGTTTGAAACGCTGCTGATTCGAGTGAAAACGGCCTGGGACCGAAACCGACGGACCTGGACCCGCAGAAATGACGGCCGCGACGCCCTCTCGCGATCCGAAAACGGCTTATTCCTCAATTGGCATGTCAGGTTAGGAGGTCTATCCACCTCCGAACCATGGGCCCCTCTGTTACCCAGCTGCACCGGGCTGTCTTCGGCGGTCTTCGGCGGTCTTCCAGCGGTTTGCAGGGGTCTCCCACGGTCCTCGGCGGTTTCTCGCGGTCTTCGGCGGTTTCCCGCGGTCTTCGACACGAGAACTACATGCTTGTGTTTAACCAGGGGTCCATGATCGAACACAATAGAAGGAGTCCCAGCGCTGCGTACCTAGAGGACTCCCCCAAAGAAGGCTCCGAGCAGATGGGGTAGGAGGATCGCGCCGCATCGCCGCTGCATCGCCGATGCATCGGCGATGCATCGGAGACGTCGGCGATGCATCGGCGACGTCGGCGTAGAGACCACATCTGTGAGGCCCAGAGTACCGCCGCGCGCGCCTGTTGTGCCTCTGTGCCTGATTGCGGTCGAGGTTTTCTGCTGCTGTGCTCGCGCTGGCCAGTCAGACAACGCGTGCTGCCAAATAGACAAGACCCTCTCTCAACATGACTAGAAATTTTGTCTGCTGGGACTCGGAGGACAACAAACCTTGGTAGAGGAAGGAACAACGGCATAAACATAAAGGTTGTGGCGCTCCGCGAAGATTTGGTGGATCTCCGCTGGACCCCCCTCCCTGGCGCGCGGAGCGCGCCAGGGGCGGCGCCGGAGGCGCCGTCGGGGGGGGCCCCAGCTCGGATCCACGACATCCGCGCGGAGCGCCACAAGGTGATGCTTATGGCGCTTGTTCTTCTTCGACCTGGTCCAAATGAACAACGTTGAGCGTCGTACCCCAGACGTTCCGTCCCCAAATCTGGGCGCGCAGCACCTGGCGCTCACCGCCCGCCCAGCGCCGCGTCATCCCGGTGGACATGTCGGCTCGGGTCGGTTCGGCTCGGGCGGTGCTGGCCCGAGTCGAGCAGCGCCACGATCGGCGAGCGCATCCATGTCCGCGCCCCCGCGGTCCGGATTCCGGGGCGTGATCTGCCCCCCCCCCCCCCCCCCCCCGAAATATGCACCACCACCACTGCGGCGATTCCTCCTCCCTCCTCTACCCTCCTGTTCCACTCCTCTATCCTGGGAGAGGGAGGGGGTGAAGGAGGTGGTGGTGGTGGTGGTGGCCCCGTATGACCCCGCGGATACGCGGTCGCACAAAGACGTTCCGCGCGAATCATCCGCGAAAAGGCGCCGCGTATCCGCGAGGTCGCGGCCCAAGGGCCCGGCCCGCGAGGTCGCGGATATGGGTATGCCTTCCACCCACGATGGCAACTGCACCAAGACGCCCGTAAAGCTGGGTCACGCGGGCTTCCGCTGGCGCCAGCACTCGTGCTGTTGCTTATGCGCCCAGCTCGCCGCAAAAACACGAGGCTTGTCGGAGGGCACCACGAACAGTCTTGTGGATGCCATTACAATGGACAATCTCACAATCTGATCATTGGATTCGAAATGCGCATTCGTGTTAAAAGACTGTCTCAAACATGTTTCAAACATGTTGCTTGCTTGTTGAAAATGCTTAACATATGTTCGAGACATCTGGAAATGGTTTGACAACATGCCTCCTCTCCATTCATCGTCTTCCACCAGCTTGTCGGAGGGTGCCACGGGCAGTCGCACTTCCACGTGCTCGGAAAGCCCCGCCCCTCCCGCCGGGGGGAGTCCACTGACCACCTCGCCGACCCTGGCCCGGCCGATCCTGGGCCCAGGCTCGGGCCCAGGCCAGGAGATGTTCTTGTTGTGCTCGGATGTGACGCGAAGCTGCTCCCGAGTACACAACCTAACGCCCGAGACCATGATAGCACACGTAACAACTGGACGCACAGCGCTCACTCCCGACCAGTCCTGTCACTTCTCCACATACATTGAATCCACCCCTCGCGATACTGCTGCCACGCAGCCCTGTCCTCGGCGATATCTGTCCACGTATGTTTACACCCCATCCTCGCCCCAGGTTCGGCCCAGCCAAGATCGGTGAGGTGGCGCGATCCGGAACTCCTGAACCCAAAAACGATTACCATCTCTTGGGGGGGCGAACTGTTCTTCCGCCAACTTCCGCCGGCCTTCCGCCAGATTCCGCCGGCGGTGCCGCCCTCGTTCCACTTCCGCCGCGGAAGAGGTGGCAACTCATCGGTCCTCGAAGGCGAAGCCGCTTCTGGAACGCCTCATATGTTTATACCGATCCTCGGCTCAGGGTCGGCTCAGCCAGGACCGGTAAGATGGGCAGCTGACGTCCCCCGATACTTCTGCCCGTGAGCGCCGTCTGGACGCCGTCCGTCACCTCCTCTGATTCCTGCTCCCGGCCCTGCCGCGCGAGCGTCGCGGGCCGCCCCTCACCCTGCGTACCACGGGCGCCTGGACACACGCGTCGGCGCAGGCTGTGCAGCCAACGCCCGTCTGCACATCCCGAAGGCACTCAGCCCGCTCGCCCCAGCGTGCCGCCCACATCCAACGAATGCGGTCTGCTGCTCGCGCCCCTGCGCTCAGCATGCAGAGTCTTCTCCACCAACACCCTCGCGTTGGCTTCGCCTCTGCGCGCCTTCGGCGTCCGAGGCTTGGCAGCTCCGCTTCCGCTGCCTGTTTCGCGCTTCGCCTGGTGACTTCGCCACTGGTCCGAGTCTGATTGAAGTGCGCATCCGCTTGCCCTATTATGAAAGAGTGCGCGCGTGTGATGGTGTCGTTTTGCTGAGGCTGGAGCCGTCTCTTTCTTTTGCCCGCGTGCCCCCCCCCTCAGCCCAGCGCAAGCGTGCGCCTCCACTGCAGCTGTTTCCCGTTCGGTGGAAGACACGACTGAGACACTGACGAACGGTGACTGCCAACATTCCATTTAGCAAGCCGACCATTGCATGTTGCACTACGTAGTGCGTACAATGATGCTGGCATTGCTTAAGAAATGCACACGCGCGCGCAGTCCGTGCGTGCGCACCCGTGTGTGGGCGTGTGTACGTCTATAGGCAACGACGACATGGTGGCCATCCTCTGCGACGTTTCCCGTCTTGGATGCTGGTCGCGACTGTGGTGCCGCATCGCTGGCGGAGGAACACATGTGGGCGTACTGTGGTGAGCCCTACCCCGTGTCGGATGTCTGAAACAATTGGCTGGGGTTCAGAACGTAAAGGATGTCTGCAGACAAGCTAACCCCAGCGTGGTTGTCCGATGCCCCAGCGCCGTCTGGACCTGCAGAGATAGGGTTCGATAGCGGTCGCAGAATGCGGTTGCGGGCCCATCAGCTCTGATCGGAGATCTACTGACCCAGGTCAATGCAAACCTGGGTCAGTCAGGATTTGCAGGATCCTGCAAGATCCTGCAGGATCCTGCACGCTAGCCCAGGTCAATGCAGCCCTGGCTTTGCCTCGTGAGCCTCCTCCGAGGCCAGAGGCAACTTCTCGAAGGGCGCAAAGGCTTCTGAGAGACCCCGCCGTCTTCCGAGAAGACCTACCCCCCCACACTTCTCCCCAAGGCTCGCCGCCGAGATTGCCTTCCTCTGGGGGAACCGAGAGGTACCGATACCCGCTGCTCCCTGGACCTCTCCTGGTGTGCGTTCTGACGGGGATTTCGAAGCAAATGCAGCGGTGGCGACGAGGGCCTCCTAGGAGGTCGATAGAACGGCAAGCGGGGGAAACATAGCGGTAGGGGTACCTTTTCATTCCCTGACCTGGGCTCGCCGTCGAGCTTGCCTTCCTCATCCTCGCGCTTTTTGCGGCAGGGCGGGGGCCACAGCTGGCCTAGGCAGACGCCGTACAGCGCGAGCCCCAAGTACCTCGCGCCCGAGGGCGGAAACGGGGGGAGCACGCAACGCACCGTGCTTGCTCGGCCGCCCCTTGCGCCACCCCTGCAGGGACTGCCTCTGCCGGGGAGGCACGGGAAGGTAGGGCAGCAAAGAGCAGGGCAAACGGTCAGCTCACGCAGCTGGCTTTCCACGCGCCTCCTGGCGCGGGGGGGCGCCCATGCATCGCGGAAGGAGCCTGGCGGCGGGGCCGAAACCAGCTGCACGCTGCAGATTTCGTACCCCGCCCTTTCCCTAACTATCACCCCCTTTCGTTCGGCCCAATCAGACGAAGGGTCTTGAGATGAACCGTTCGCCCGTTCGCCTCTGCCAGTGGCCGGTAAGACGGCCTCCCCCAGGGAAGGCGCCGACGACAACGACGACGACGACGACGACGACGACGACAAGGGGGAGGATTGGGAGGAGACACCGCGGGGTGGCAGCCATGACGCCTCACTGGAGGAAGAGCAGACTGCATCAACGTAAACTGTCGGAGGTCCGCGCGGACCCTCGAAGAGTAATGGTTCCACAAAATTTCCCGCACGTCCGATTCGGAAGCAACTCCTGGGAGGTCCTCGTAAGCACGGGTAAGTAGGACGATAAAAACCTATTGACACCATTTGTTATTGATACGTTCCGGGGGGTCCGGGATTTCTAACAGCCATCGCGCAAGGTACATTTTGCGTCGAATATTGGCTACTCTGCCTGGGGCCGCTGGTCGGTCACCCATTCGCACTCGAATAGTCGCCCGTAGGGGACTATATATGGTATTTGCTGATCCCCCTCTCGGTGCCGGGCACGGGGGGGGGGTACGGTGGCGCACCGTCCCGTTGCCCGCCGCCGCGCGCTGCGCGCTTCGGCGGATTCGCAAAAACCTGGCAAGGCACATCACCCGCGACTCCGGAAAATTCTCCGAAGGTCGATTTGAAGAATCCAAGAACGTTTTTGAAAATGTCCGTCCTACTCGCTTGGGGAAAATCATGGGATCGATTGGGACAAATTCTGGAATCAGTTCTGAAAAGTGCCGGAATCAATTTGGAAAATCTCCGGATTTCAGAACTCTTCAAATGTCCTGTGCTGCGGGCGCATTCCACCCCTCAGAACTGCTTATTGAAATGTCCTGGGCTCCTTTGAAACATTTCGGAACCGCCGTTGCAAAACAGCGGCCGCGCTTTTTCGAAACATTCTACAATCCAGAAATAATTCCCAGGCGGTCTGACATGCGCGACCGGCAGATTCACGCACCGCGTCTAAGGGCGCAGCGCGCGCCGCGCCCTTACCCGCGAACAGCACTCGAAGGGGTTACCTCGAACATCGCGCCACGGCAGCTGCGACTCGCGGACTCCCGAAGAGCATTACAGAATGCAGCTTGGAATCTCCGAGGGCGCTCCGATGCGCGAACATGCACCGCGCACGTCACGCAAAGACCCTGCGCGACGGAATGCGCTCGACCATTCGTCCCTGGAGCCCGCGCGGAAGGACGGGGAGACCTGAACCTCTTGAAAACTACCAATATCAATACTTCATGTTCCTCTGAGTAAGGGCTGTTATGCCCGATAACTACGCCGGATTAACCCGGAATGGACCCAGGACGAAGCCGGATTAGGCTGGAGTTAACGGGATGAAGCCGGACTGAACCTGTTTCCCACCACGGACATGCCAGCGCCGATGCCGAACTGCACCTTCCGGGAGTGGCATCCGAGTCTCGGCTCTCCGCACCCCGCCCGCGGACGCAAAGGAGCGCGCCAGCCTGGGCCGCGAGCGCAGGAGAGAGGGGGGAGAGCAGCGACGGGGGCAGCAATGATGGGCCCGTTTTCCACTACAACCACCATAAGTTGGACGGGGGAAGGAGGTGCAGGACGAGGAGGAGGAAAAGGAGGAGGAGGAGGAGGAGGAGGAGGAGAAGGAGGAGGACGAAGAGGAGGAGGATGAGGAGGAGGAGAAGGAGGAGGAGGAGGGGGAGGAGGAGGGCCCCCTCTCCCTCCAACTGATGGTGGTGGTGATGGTGGTGAAAACCAGGCCCATCAAGCAGGGAGCGGCGGAAGGCGGTGCCAGGATGTGCTGAGACCTCGAAGCCCCCGAAGACATCACCGCAGGATGCGCCACAGCACGGTTTTGGGGGCCCTCGACGAGGCCCGGGCCGCCCGAGGCCTCCTCGCGAAGAGCGGCCCCATTAGAGGCCCCAAAAACCGTGCGGCCACGCCGAGCCACTGCGGACGCAACCACGCGGTGTGGCCACCGCACTGGTTGGGGGGGTCCCGGGGAAGAGGATAAGGCTGAAGGGGGGGTTCGGATGAGGGATGATGGGCCTGTTTTCCACCACTAAGTTGGAGGGGGAGGAGGTCCTCCTCCTCCTCCTTCTCCTCCTCCTCATCCTCCTCCTCCTCCTCCTCCTCCTCCTCCTCTTCGTCCTCCTCTTCGTCGTCCTCCTCCTCATCCTTCTTGTCCTCCTCCCTCTTTCGCCTCCTTCTTCTTCTCCTCTCTCCTTCGAGGTCGCAGCACATCTTGGCATCGCCTTCCGCCTCTCCCTGCTTGATGGGCCTGTTTTCCAACACCATCACCACCACCATCAGTTGGAGGGGGAGGGGGTCCTCCTCCTCCCCCTCCTCCTCCTCCTCCTCCTCTTCTTCCTCCTCCTCTTCGTCCTCCTCTTCCTCCTCCTCGTCCTCCACCTCCTTCCCCCCTCCAACTTGTGGTGGGTGGTGGTGGATTTCAAGCCCATCAAGAGAGGTGAAGAGGAAAGTTGAGCAGGAGAAAAAGGGTAATACATGAGCTTGTGGATTGACGCACGCAAGGTGACGGCATGTGGCGCTGGAAGGAGGGGGGGAGGAAAGCGGAGGGCGGATGGGGAGGGGGGAAGGGGGGGGGCAAGTAAAGGACGAGGAGGAGGAGGACAAGCTAGGTGCGCTCGTGTCATATCTGGCGTCCTACCCCTTCCTCTCATCCTTACCATGGCGTAGATATCCTCTCTATTTGCACAGTCGGATGTCGAGCAGGGCAATGATCCCATGAGGGTGCGCGATGCATCGTAGAGCACGGCATAGCAGCGCGCAGGAATGCACAGCAGAGCGTAGTATGTCATAGCATGCTGTAGCGTTGCGTAGTGAAGAATTGCATCACAGCGCATTGCAACGCAAGTAATGGCCTCGCACAGCGGCACAGAACAGAACATGGCATAGCATGGCGTTGAAGATCAAAGCGTACCATGGCATAGCATGGCGTGGCACTGCGTAGTCAAGCACTACATAACCTAGTATTGAAGCTGAAGGCATGGCATCGCACAGCGGAACACCACATAGCATTGCATTGCATGCCGTGGCATGGCACTGGAAATAATGACGCCAACGCTGCAGCGGGAGCACGAATCGGAACGAGCGGAAGCGCGGAAATGATGCCAACGCTGCAGCGGGAGCACGAATCGGAACGAGCGGAAGCGCGGAAATGAGGCCAACGCTGCAGCGGGAGCACGAATCGGAACGAGCGGAAGCGCGGAAATGAGGCCAGCGCTGTAGCGGGAACACGATTCGGAACGAGCGGAGGCCGAACATGAGGCCATCGCTTTAGCGGGAGCAACATGTTGACACCAATCCAAGCAACAACCCAACTCCCCAGAATCCGGTGTACAAAAAAGGCAGAACGCGGAGCGGGGCCGAACAGATTTCGGACGTCATCAGGGGAGAGAGGATATTGGTATTCGTATTGTGTACTTGTGGAAGAGGATGAGGACGAGGAGGAGGAGGAAGAGGAGGAGGAGGGGAAGGAGGAGGAGGAGGAGGAGGGAGGAGGAGGAAGAGAAGGAAGGAGGAGGAAGGAGGAAGGAGGAGGAGGAAGGAGGAGTGAGGAGGAGAAGGAGAAGGAGAAGGAGGAGGAGGAGGCGGAAAAAGAGAAAGGAGCAGAGAGGAGGAGAAGAAGGAGGCGAAAGAGGGAGGAAGACGAGAAGGGTGATGAGGAGGAGGACGAAGAGGAGGAGGAGGAGAAGGAGGAGGAGAGGAATAAAGAAAGGAAGGGTAGGAGGGGGAGGAGGACAGGAGCGGAAGGGGAAGGGGGAAGGGGGAGGGAGGAGGGCGCACGGGAGAGGAGGGCGGAGGAGCGTACAGCAAAGGCGGGAAAACGGTGGTTGTCAGCATCATCGTTAAACCGATCCCCATCCCCACCAGGAAAGCCTTGGCCCCACTGTCCGACCTACCCACCGGGTACGGATAAATGCCGTCTCCGCAGGGTGTCGCGCCACCAATCCCACCTTAGGTGGTAGGCTTTCGGCGATGAGGAGCCCTGGGGTAGGTCTGACGATGCTGCGGTGGGGGAGGGGGCACAGGGCGTTGATCGTCTTGTGGTACGACGCAATGAGGAACAGCGAGTACGAGGTCATGCCCAGCACCTTTCGAAGCAGCGCACTTGTCCTCGTCTTCGCCCTCATTCCTCAACCCGCTCCGCTTATTCCTTCGTCCGCCCGGTGGAATCCCTGGGAAGTCCAGCGGAGAGCAGAGGGCACACATGCCCGGCGCGGCGCGGCTGCTCTCCTTCGAGCCGCAGACGCCCCATCTGCTCGGCGCCCGCGGCTCGTCCCAAGACAATGGCGGCATTGCCCGTCTACCCAGGCGCCTCCTCCTTCTTGTCCACCTTCTCCTCCTCCTCCTTCTCCTCCTCCTCCTCCTCCTCACCATCCTCCTTCATCCCCCGAATCACCCTCCTCCTCCTCCTCCGCCTCCTCCTTCCCCTCCTCCTCCTCCTCCTCCTCCTCCTCCACCTCCGCCTCCTCCTCCTCCTCCTCGTTCTCCTCCTCCTTCTCCTCCTCCTCCCCTTCCCCCCCCTCGCCCGACTTCGCGCCTCGCGCCCCGCGATGCGCGACGCGCGATTACCTCCGCGCCCTCGCGCCCCCGCGCCCTCGCGCCGCCCCCCCCCCGTGGGGAAGCGCGGCGACGCGCGCAGGCGCAGTTGTCGTCGCGTAACCCAGGGGTTATATCCTGGGTGTACGCGGCTCGGCCGCTTCGAGAGACGGGTCCCCAGGGTACAGGTAACCAGCCTCGAACGTATCCCTATCCCTAAGATGAACAAGCCAAAAGTCGACGACAATTTTAGGGATGCGCCCTCAAACGGAGGGGATCCCCAAGATCGGCATCGAGATGAGGCGATGCCAAGCATAGGGATAGGGATATGTTCCAGGCTGGTGAACATTTACGCGAGCGTTCTCTTATTCTGCGTTTCGACACTGGGCGGAAGGGGGGGAAGGGGGAGGGGGGTCTGGCTCCTGACCTCTGCTCAGTGCGACTGCTTGCAGCAGTGCGCCCTGTGGGGGGAGCCTCCGCCTGCTCGAAATAGGCGCCAAAAACAGCCAAGATCCACTCCATGGTCGCGGGGAGAGGGGGGTGCGAGGGCCCGCGCCGATCGGCAAAACAATGGATAAGAAAACGATCGCTGCATGAAACGAAACTGGGTGTTCGGAAGAGCCTGAAGGGATTCTCACCGGGCGCACTCTGTGGCAACGTTGACGAGAATCACACATATATTTAGCTGCTGCAAAAACCAAACTTCATTGTGTATAGAAGTTGGTTATAGCTGCAGCGCCGTGGATCGAATGGGCCCGAACACACGTGCGAAGCAAATCCCTAGTGTGGGATGACCGTCAGAACTCGGCCGTCCCGAGCTTTCTTGTGAAATTAGCACCGCCAAGGGTGAATACACCACACAACAAATCCTGCGAGCCACTCAATCCTCATCGCAATATGATTACATGCTGCTTCATGTGTTCGGACCCAACTAACCTATCACGCAATGATGTACCGTCCCACACGAATTCGCACTCGACTCGACATTATGATCAAGTAGCACTTGACAACCACGACGATGAGAATGATGACGCGCAGAAGGAGGCCCCCCCTCCTGCGAGAAGCAGTCCCCTGAGGAAGCGCCGCAAGCCATAAGGCGGAGAAAAGGACGCAATAAGCACTCTCCCGAGGGGGCGCCCCCCTTGTACGAAGAGCTCCTAGTAGGAGGAAATGCCCCCCCCCCCCCCCGCGAGAGGCACTCACTCCCCCCTTAGAGTGGCACCGCAAGCCAGAAGGCGGCGAAGAGGACGCGGTATCTGTGGAGGCTATCCCAAATCCTGGGGCCCGGCGAGGGAAACGGGCTCCTCTTCCTGACTTCCAGTTCATACCGCCTCCTTATCCTTCTCATCGCCTTCCTCCTCCTCCTCCTCCTCCTCCTCCTTGCAACAGGTCCAATATTGCAACATCCGAATCATGCCGTTTCGCCCCTGCACGGCCGAAGGAAGACATGCAAGCATCATATGAGAGAACAGAAGATAACACAACATGGAAGCACAACCGTCCCAACCGTCCAGCAGCACGTCCGCGGTGGCGAAAATCAGAGCAGTGGTGGCGAGAACCAACAGATTGGTACAGCTCCAGCTCCCAGTCAGAAGATCAGCGCCAGCAGCGAGCAAGATCCACAGCGCCAGGGAAGTCGGCCAAGCTCTTCCATTCCTTCTGGGGGTTAAACCGTCGCCAGGCCAGGCGAACGCGCCGGAAGTTGCGACGAAGGTGCCTCTGCGGGAACCCTTACTGGCGTCGGAGGGGATGCATGCCCCCGAATTTCTTGTTCTGCGATGGATAAAGAATGAGCTGATGTGCTGACCTCTCGAGTGCCGGTTTCATCCTCGTGAGCGCCGCCACCTTCTTCTTTAGGATCCGATCCAAACTTTCATTATGTGCCTTGTATGAAATCGGGCTTGTGCACGTCCGTATCGAACTGGCGAGACAAATTATGTATTTCCTCTTGTTCAAGCACTTCTTCTCTGCCACAACCTCAGAACCTGCCTGCTTTTGGGAGGGAGGCACGCGTCGCTTGGCCCCGGTGCCAACGTGATTGTGGCAGCACGGTGCGCCGCATTGCGCGAAGTTCTCTCGCGTCGGCAATAATCAAAATTTGCACTTCTCAGGCGGAGCATCATTCCCCCCCTGGCCATTTGCGATGTCGGCGGTCGCCCGAAGCGTGCCGAGGTCGCCCCATCCCAGCTGCCAACCGACTGAGTCGGGACAGGGGTGGGGTCACTTGGCGATGGGGCCCAGATACTCCTAGGACGACGCTGAGGGCTCAGCCCCAGTGCCTGCCCAACAGGGTGTTCTGCGCTCCTGGGCGGCAATAGAAAGCTCTCCGACACCGCGGGCTGAGCCCGCGACGCGGTCGGCTTCCAGCATTGTCCAATGCGCTCCCATGCGAGTTCAGACTGGAACAACCACAATCGAAAGTCTGCTGGCGAGGATTGCCTGGAGGGGCTACTAGCGCCGCGGCTGCTCCTCGATCTACTGCGGCGATCATAAGCGACCCAGGTTTTGCGCACCTAACAGGGATCGGGGGCGTCAGAGGGGGGCACGAAGGTCCCGCCTCTTGTGCTTAAATGGACTGAATCCACGAAGTCAGAGTACGCCTCGTCTGCCGTTTCAACTTCACGAATCATTGGGTTGTGAACCACTGCTGCGTGACTCCCAGCTGCGCTGGAAATCTGCATTGGTGACCCACCTACCTCCATATTGTATTCGGATCGCCCCTTCGGACTTTTGGGAATGGCGATTTTCCCATAGGCCCCCTCGAATGTTCTGGCAATTCAGGCTCGCGAGGGCTCAACATGTCGACTGGGGTCTGAGGGATGTCTAGATGCTCCGCTATTTGAATCGAATGCTGACGAAACATCTGGGGAATGGTTGCGCCAAAACCTAATATGCCGTCCCGTTCGTCTCGCATTCTCCTTCGAGCGTCAGCTGAAATCCTAGTTGAACAGGCAGTTCTGCTCACTGCGTCGCGCGACTCTCCTTTTAGTGATGAACTCAACCAACTCATCTCCGACACGACTCGCGCGGATAATTCTCGGTTAATATCTATCTCTCTCATGTTGGTTTGGGAAGACCCGGTTGGTCTGTGAAGACCCTGGGGCTTCGTTCGGGAAGACCCGGTTGGTTTGGGATGACCCGTTTGGTTTGGGCAGACCTGGGGGCTTGGTTTTGAGGAAGGCCCGGTTGGTTTGGGAAGACCCGGGGGCTCGGTTTGGCACGACCCGCTTGGTTTGGAAAAGCGCGGTTGGTTTGGTAAAAACCGGGGGCTCGGTTACATAGGCAAGACCCACTTGGTTCGGGCGGAACCGGGGACGAAACGAAAACAAGGGCCCAACGGAGGCGAAACGAAGGCGAGAACAAAGCGAGAACGTGAGCCGAACCCAAAGCGAAACGAAAACGAAACGAAGGCGAGAACGAAAGCGAAAAACGAGACGGAAACGAACACGAAACGAGGGCGTAACGGAGGCGAAAGCGAAGGCAAGCGGAAACCAAAATGAAACCAAGGCGAAACGAGAAACAAAAACAAACGGAGACGAAACGAAGGCGAGAACAAATGCGAGAACGAGGGCGGAAACAACATAGAAACGAAGACGAAACGAAGGCGAGAACAAAACCGAACACGGTGTCGGAAACTCAAGCGAAACGAAGGCGAACACAAAAGCAATAACGAGACGGAAACAACAGCGAAACGAAAGCGAAACGAAGGCGACAACAATACCGAAACGAGGGCGAAACGAAGGCGAGAACAAAGGCAAGAACGAGGGCGGAAACGAAAGCGAAACGAAGGCGAAACGAAGGCGGGAAACGAGACCAGATACAAAAACAAACAAGGACGAAACGAAGGCGAAACCAAGGCGAGAACGTGGGCGGAAACCAACGCAAAACGAATACGAAACGAAAGCGACAACGAAAGCGGGAACGAGACGGAAACGAGCACGAAACGAAGGCGAAACGAAGGCGAGAGCGAAGGCGAGAACGAGAGCGGAAACGAAAGCGAAACGAAGGCGAAACGAGGGCGGGAAACGAAAGCGGATACAAAGACAAACGAAGACGAAACAAAGGCGAGAACAAAGGCGATAACGAGGGCGGAAATGAAAGAGAAACAACATAGAAACGAATGCGAGAACGACGACGACAACGATATCGGGAACTAAGGCGAAACGAAACCGAAACGAAGGCGAACACAAAAGCAATAACGAGACGGAAACAAAAGGAAAGGAGATCGAACCGAAGGCGAGAACAAGACCGAAACAAGGGCGAAACGAAACGAAACAACAGCGAGAACGAAAGCGAGAACGCGAGAGGAAACGAAGGCGAAATGAAAGCGGAACGAAAACGAGAGCGAAGGCGATAAAGAAGGGCGAGAACGAAGGCCAAACGGAGGCGACACGAAGGCGAGAACAAGGCGAGAACGTGAGCGGAAACCAACGCAAAACGAAAGCGGGAACGAAGGCGGGAACGAAAGCGGGAACGAGACGGAAACGAGCACGCAACAAGGGCGAAACGAAGGCGAGAGCGAATGCGAGAACGAGAGCGGAAGCGAAAGCAGAATGCGAGGCGAAAGCGGGGAACGAGGGCGGATACAAAAAAACAAAGAAAAACGAAACGGAGGCGAGAACGAACGCGGACACGAAGGCGGAACGAAAGCGGAGCGAATGCGAAACGAAGGCGAGAAGAACGGAAACGAGAACGAGAACAAGGGCGAGTCGGGTCGAGCGGGCGGACCCTAACGGGCGGATCGAGTCGGGCGGGCGGGACACGCAAGTATGATGCATCATCGACTTGGCGCGATTGCAGCCTACCGAGCGGGTCGGTCGGGCGGGCGAGTCGAGTCTGGCAGGCGGACCCTGACGAGCAAATCAGGTCGGGCAGGCGTGCCGTAACAGGCGGGTCGTGCTGGGCGGGCGGGACATTCAAGTATTATGCATCATCGGGTTGGCGCACGTGTACCCTAACGGACGGGTCGGTCGGGCGGGCGGGTCGGGTCGGGCGGGCGGACCCTGACGGGCGGATCAGATCGAGCGGGCGGAACACTGAAGTATGATGCGTCATCCAGATGGCACGCGTGCGCCTGGTTTCTGGGGGATCTCAACATGCCCTAAAACCGTTCAAACCCAACTCAGAAAAAAAACGGGCCCTCGCGAAAGGGTCCAGACCCCTTGGTGCCAACGTCGCCAAAAAAGCAACACTGGATTTCTGGGTTCCAGAGGTGCGCCGTCACCCTAAATTCGAAAAGGAATCCAGCCGTCGCGACGACGAAGACGTCGAGGACGACGACGGCGACAACAACGACGACTGCGGCGATGGCGACGACGGCGGCGGCGACGACAACGACGACGACCACCACCACGACAACGACGGCACCTCCTCCCGTTCCTCGTCGGGTGCTCCTCCTCCGCTTCATCTTCTTAGGAACCACAAGCTCCTCCTCATCCTCCTCCTCCTCCTCCTCTCCTCCTGCTCCGCGTCCTCCGCCTCCTCCGCCTCCTCCTCCTCCTCGTCCCCCCCTCCTCCTCCTCCTCATTCTCCTCCTCGTTCTCGTCCTCCTCCTCCTCCTCTTTCTCCTCCTCCTCCTCCTCCGCCTCTTCCTCCTCCTCCTCCTCCTCCTCCTCCTCCCCTCCCCCTCCCCCTCCTCCTCCTCCTCCTCCTCCTCCTCCTTCTCCTCCTCCTCTCGTCCTCGTCCTCGTCCTCGTCTCGTCCTCGTCCTCGTCCTCGTCCTCGTCTCGTCCTCGTCCTCCTGATTCTACTCGTGTCCTCCTCCTCCTCCTCCTCTACCTCTCCTCCTCCTCCTCCTCCTCCTCCTCCTCCCTCCCTCCCTCCCTCCCTCCCTCCCTCCCTCCCTCCCTCCTCCTCCTCCTCCTCCTCCTCCTCCTCCTCCTCCTCCTCCTCCTCCTAACCATCCTCCGTCATCCCCCGAATCACCCTCTTCCTCCTCCTCCTCCCCTCCGCCTCCTCCTTCCCCGCCTCCTCCTCCTCCACCTCCTCCTCCTCCTCCTCCTCCTCCTCGTTTTCATCCTCCTTCTTGGTTTTCCTGTGTGATGGTGTTGTTCTCCTCCTCCTAATCCTCCTCCGCATCCGCCTTATCTTCCTCCTCCTCCTCCTTTTCCTCCTCCTCCTCCTCCTCGTCATCATCAGCCTCATCTCAACATCAGCAACAACATCATCAGCATCATCAGCAGCAGCAGTATCATCATCAATATCATCAGCATAATCCTCCGTATCCTCATGCTCAGCATCATCATCATCATCATCATCATCATCATCATCATCATCATCATCATCATCATCATCACCATGATGATCATCGTCAGCAGCATCGTCATCAGCAACACCATCATCGTCATCAGCATCGTCATCATCATCGTCATCAGCATCATCAGCATCAGCAGCAACATAAACAGCAACAGTATCACCAACGTCAGTTATATAAGCATCATCATCCTCGTCACCATCATCATCATCATCATCATCAGCAGCAACATCATCATCATCATCATCATCATCATCATCAGCATCACCAACATCATCATCATCATCATCATCGTCATCATCATCATAATCATCAGCATCAACATCAACACCATAATCATCAGCAATACCGTCCCCATCACCATCGCCATCACCGTCATATTCATCGGCAGCATCATCAGCAGCAGCAGCATCATAGTCTTCATCATCAGCAGCAACATCAGCGTCAGCATCACCAGCATCATCAGCATCATCAGCATAATCAATATCATCATCATCATCACCATCATCATCATCATCATCATCATCATCATCATCATCATCATCATCATCATCATCATCATCATCATAATCACCATCATCACCATCATCACCATCACCCATACTCCTCATATATAATCGTCACTCTTTTCCCGTCATGATCGTCCTTGCCCACCCCTCTCATCTCCATCCTGCGTCATCCCTCCTCCTCCTCCTCCTCCTCCTCCTCTTCCTCTTACCCCCTACTCTCATTCTCGTCTTCCTCCTGCTTACGTCTGTCCTTCATCCCTCTCTCCCTCCCTCGCTCTCCTTCCACTCACGTTCCTCCTCACCTTCCGCCTCCCCCTCTCCGTCACGCGCGCTCGCCCCAGGCAGACCCCCTCTCCAGATCAGCATACTGCAACTTGCGGGCCCTGGGAGACCAGCTCTGCCCGAGCTGACGCGGCGGCAGAGGAGACGTGCAGGGATGGCAGACGGCGCACTACGAGCGCTCGGAGGCAACACAGCACGCTGTACAGCAAGCACGTTCTTTAAGAGACCTTGTTGTGTGAAACCTCTTTAGTGGCACACCACTCGTCAACCCTGAGTTCCGTAGGCCCCCCGAGGCTCTGCGACCCAATGGAGATCCGAAGAAACCGTGGGGCACCCGCTGGCATGCCGATTTCTGACCCGGGTGTTCCGACTGCACCAAATACAAGCATCACGAGGGAAGCTCGCGAAGCAATGTAGACTGCCCAGAAGGTCCTGCCGACGACGACTGCGGCAAGGATGTAGGTGACCGCCGTGATGAAGAACAGCTTCCTGAGCCGTACCCCGAACGAACGGGGGCAGAGCAGGGCGCTGCCCACGCCTGATGTCGTCGCCCAAGGGGGCGCACATCTGGAAACTCTGGACTGGATTGGAACGTGCGGTGCGAGGGCGGCGCGCGCCGGCTACGCAAGCACCGTGCTGCCAACGCTTGACGCGTGCCAGCTCAAAGTGCGCCGCACGTGCAACAGGAAGTGGGGATAGGCGCTCGGCGTCCGCGGCGTTTGGAGGGCGGAGGCTGGCAACACGAAGGTCTCGGGCCGCTCTGGAGAGGCCAGAGCTGGCCGAGATCGGCGCGCCCTTCCAAAACGCAGACTGTGACATCATCAATGTGGTGGAAATCGGCCAACGCTCACGTCAGCGCTCAGATGCCTGCGCCTCTGCTCACACTGAGACGGTTTCGAGAGCGCGCTATGAACGCGCTCCTTAACTGGTCTATAGTACCAGTGAAGCTTGGGAACCACGTCGGAACCATCCACTGAAGCGCCACAATATGCGCCACTGCAGACAATTAGGTAAAATTAATACGATTTGCCTGGACTTGACGCGTGACGGAACCTCCAGACGGCGCACGGGCGCGAGCGCGCCCAGGTGCGCTCAGGAGCTCCCACAGGCACGGCGAAGGTGAAGGCGGTGACGACGGCAGTGGCGACCGCGACAGACCACGGGCGGGGCGGCGGCGGCGGCGAAGGCGACGACAACGACGACAGCGACAATGGCAACGGCGACGGCGACGGCGATTGCTGCGGCGAGGACGACGACGATGCCGGCGACGGCGAGTTCCAATGATCAGAACGCGCGACGGTCCAAACGTTGGAACTCAAAGAGCAACTTTAGAAGGAGCCGCCTAAGGTTAGGTCGGGCATGTCCCCCTACAGGTGGATTTGGGGCGAAAGCCGAATACGCAAAAAATGCTCGAACATGGTCAAAGTATTCAAGAAATCGTCCCCAGGCTATATTTTGTCTATTTTGAATTTGCCTCCTGCAGAGAGACAGGCCCGACTTACGCCTAGGGCAACCTCCGGCAAGAGAGCCCCAATCGAATCCTAGAAGGCGCCTGGGCCCGTGCCCTCGGCAAGGCGTCCTCGGGTTCGACGGCTGCTCTGTATTACTGCTGCACAAGGGTACCAGGGTCAGACGGGATCCGTGCGAAGCACACGACTTTCCCACCACTCGGGTCCGTCCAAAACCCAACGAATTCGTGCAGGATCCGTCCAATATTCTTCGGATCCGCATATGGGTGGTAGCGGATCCTCTGCGGGGGGGCCCTGCACGCGTTTTCTGGCGCCCCACGCTCCGCCCAACGCCCGCGACCTGCCGCCAACCCCCTTTTCCCCAGGCTGGCTGCGCCGACGGCCCGTGACCTGGCTGGACCAACAGTCTGGCACCTTCGTGCGATTTTCGTCTTCGGGCCGATTTATCAAACCGTACCAACTTACCTGACTGTCTGCAGGCGTGCCTCCGGGCGTACTCGTGGGTGTGGGTGTGTGTCTAGTCGCTCTGCCCATTCATAACAAATCATCCAACGACTTCAAGAAAACTCGGATCGGAACGTTTCGTGATCTTTAGCCTTCGATGGCCGTGCTCGGGCCCAGACCGTCCAGAAGCCACCTGTGACGAGAAACTTGGGCCGAGGGTTCTGGTGACAGCGCACGGGCAAGAACTAGAAATGCATCCGAGGTCTGGGCACTCGACTCTTGAAATGTGCGGAGCATGTGGTCGAGCACACTCACTGCTTACACCACATCGCCATTGTGCTGCCACAAATAACGCCAGAAAAGGAGGCCACAGTGAGCCTCGGCCACGAACTGCTTTTCTGATCCACAAGGCACGGCCTGAGAGCCAGAGCCCCTCCTGAACCCGAAGTGGCCCTTGCTTCAGCGACTTGACTGCTTCTGGAACTGGGCTCAAGAAACTTACTGCACACGCGATAGCTGCCCATCGCGCACTGTGGCGTAGCTTCCCGCCGGCCGAAATATGACTTTCGGTTCAGCGATGTTCCCCCTGCTCGTGAGACGGTAATGCAAGTTTGCATTGGGCAATACGTTAGGCAGTGCGAGCCACACGTCTCCTCCTTCCACGTCCTCCTCTTGCTCATGATCCTCCTCCTCCTCCCTCCTCCCTTATCGGTCACGGCCGATGGCTCACATCTATCTGGAGAGTAAGCCCTGCGGCAATGCAGCTCCGAATCACGCGCAGCAGTCTGCTCAAGATGTTCTGGCGCGCGGCATCAACTCAATCCTAACGCGCTGGTGGAAGCCCACTGCTTCCCCAGACCGCGGGACGTCGACTGACCACCTCACCGATCCTGGCCGAGCCCATCCCGGGCACAGGATCCACGTTTCTCTGCTCTTGTCAACGCAGTTGCGGGACGAGAAGGGGGAAAGCTGTGGAGGCGGGGATTCATGGCACGCGCGCCTGGCGCGCATGGGGGAAGGCACGGGCCGCGGCCGCCGCCCAACAAGAGAGCTGAGGAGAAGGAGGATGGGGGAGAAGGAGGAGGAGGAGGAGGAGGAGGAGGAGGAGGAGGAGGAGAGAGGAGGAGGAGGAGGAGGAGGAGGAGGAGGAGGTCGAGGGGAAGGAGGAGGAGGAGGAGGAGGGGGAGTGGAATGATACCGCGACGAATCTTAGCAGTGACGCGGCGCCCAAAACCTGCCACGGCCCGGGACTCGGGACACGGGCACTGGATCGGTGTGCATGCCTCCCTGGCCAGGCCAGGAGGGCGTACCGTACGGTGGAGGCCAGTCCACCAGAAACCTTCCACAAGAAACCCGACCCTGAGGCCCCAGGACGCCCATCGATTCTGGGTGTGGGAGCGTCACCCTTTCCATCACGAAACCATCGAAACCCGAGAAACCCAAGGCACCCTGGAGGCAAGCAGGGCGTTTCTTGGCATGGGCCCCCAGTGCACTTCATCAAGGCTGAGCTTGCGGCCTGAGGTTGTGGGACTTGCATCCTGCGGCTTCTGGCCGAACGCAACATTACGATTGTTCCAGCTCGGGTCTTGCATTCTTGCCTTGCACGCTTTCCCTCTTGACTGCACTTCCCGAGGGGCAGACCTCCTCGGCGCGCCTGGTGACGGGCTTGAGACGGGGCATCGCCCCTCGGAAGATGGCCAGGGCTCGTGGAGCCCCGGATTGGCGCCAACGTGGCACGCTGTCGAACCAAGAGCCTGGCGCGCTGACTCCGAAGGGCAACCTCCGAGTCCGTCTTGACCGACCGACAAACACCAGCCCAAGGTGTCCGTACGAGGTGCTGCTCAGCCGACACAGCTCGTAGAGAGACATCCCCAGAATATTCGTGCACACCTGGACCCACAACTGCTCCCACGAGCTTTCGCTCACGTCCCAACTCCTTCACGCCCAGTTGTCCCCACGCTTCCTTCCTCCCACGCACACCCTTCTCTTTCAACGGCGACTTGGGTCCCAGACGCGGCCGAGGAGGAGGAGGAGGAAGGAGGAGGGAGGAGGGAGGAGGAGGAGGAGGAGGAGGAAGAGGAGGAGGAAGAGGAGGAGGAGGACCCCGCTGTGCCGCGACGAGCCCTGGCGGTGCCGACGCCCACACACCCGCCAGGGCCCCCGGGACGCGGGACGCGGACACCGGACACCCGGCGCGCGCGCGACTCCCTGGCCAGGCCGAGAGGGCGCACCGCACTCCTCCTCGTCCCCGTTCTCCTCGTCCTTCCTCCTCCTCCTCCTCCTCGTCCCCGTTCTCCTAGTCCTCCCTCCTCCTCCTCCTCCTCCTCCTCCTCCTCCTCCTCCTCCTCCTCTCCTCCTCCTCCTCCTCCTCCTCCTCCTCCTCCTCCTCCTCCTCCTCCGCCTCCTCCTCCTCCTCCTCCTCCCTCCCCCCCTCCTCCTCCCCCTCCCCTCCCCCTCCCCCTCCTCCTCCTCCCTCCTCCTCCTCTCCTCCTCTCCTCTTCCTCCTCCTCGTCCCCGCTCTCCTCGTCCTTCCTCCTCCTCCTCCTCCTCCTCCTCCTCCTCCTCCTCCTTCTCCTCCTCCTCGATCCAGGGGCCCAGGATGGGCCTGGACAGAGTCGGTGGGGCGGACTCGGTTGTTCAAAGATGGGGTCCTGAGAGGTTTTCTGCGTCTTCGGGGGAGGCTTAGGAGACGTCTCAAAAGGCCAGGGGTCTTCCGAGCCTTCTGAGGAGGCCTTCTCCTTCTCGCTTCCCCCTCGGGCTCGCCGCCGAATTGGGTGAGCGAGATCTACGAGGCCGTTTCTTCATCCCTTGGCGATCACGGGAGGGCGGGAGGGGGGGCGGGCCAGTCACGTCGCGATTCGCGCCGGCGCCGCCTGGGAGTGCTCAGGGATCCAATGGTGGTTTCACACTCTTTGAGGCACCCCGCCCTCGGGGCGCCCCGTCCCTCAGGACCCCACCGTTGCACCGACGGCGGACGGCCGACGCCCCCCGACCCGATGGCCGCACCCCCTCTCGCCCCCACTGGAGGTGACATGCACGTGAGCCTACAGAAGATGATAAAATTCACCTGGAGACAGAAGAGCGACATTCGGGCCAGGTCTCGATTGACTTCCAGGAACCGGCCTCCAGAAAATGGCATTCTGGAGAACTATTGCAGTTTTGCGACTTGATCTCGAGCTTCCGAGCGCCCGGCGGCGCGCCGCCGAGGCCCCCCGCCCCGCCCGATCATCATCGGGCCGAAGCCCCAGCGGTGGTCGGCGTGGAAGGGCAGGATCTCCTCCCCTCGCCGGCCTGCCGCCCTGGCCGCCCCCCAATACCAAAGAGCTGCTCTGCACTAGGGGGGTCCAGATCGACCCCTCCAACTCAGTTTGAGCCGTTCCTCCTCCTCCTCCTCCTCCTCCTCCTCCTCCTCCTCCTCCTCCTCCTCCTCCCCCTCCCCTTTCCTCCCCTTTCCTCCTCCTCCTCCCCCTCCCCCTCCCCCTCCCCCTCCCCTTTCCTCCTGGGGGCCCCCCAGGAGGTACCGCCACGCTACGGAGGCGCGTCCGCTCGAGGCACACTGCTCACACTGCCCGCGCCTTGGGCCCGTCAAGAGATGGCGGTCTACGAGCGGATCGCCGCCCCAAGGGCTGTGGAATACAGTCGCCGTGCTACCGTGAGGAACGCTAGGTAAGGAACGAAGCCCCTTTCGGGTCCGCGAAGCGCAAGGGGGGCACAAGGAGGGGTAGATGAGCAACAATAGAAGCGCCTCAGGAACACCGAGCCCCCCCCGAACTCGAACTGCTCCTCATTTCAGAGTCTTGGCCGCATGCGTCCTACGGTGAAGGCATCTCGGCACCTGCAGCCAAGATCCGATTTAGATTGACATCGCCAGTCAGGACGCAACACCATCGCAAGGGTTCAGTAAGGGTAGAGAAATAGAGCTCAGCAGGGATAAGTGCAAGGACGCAGGGGCCAAAGCAAAGAGAGGCGTTTCATCAGTTCCCGTATTGTCTGCACCTCAAAAACGCTTCGGGACCCCTGTGCTTGGACTCGGGTGCGAGGAAGACATGCAAATTGACTGGGATCACGTCGTTTGTGCGAATCAGCTTCACTGGAGACACGGATCAATCCACTTGGGACGCAGGAGCGCAAATCGATCCTACGCAGGCTGCTGCTGTGACACATCGACAGCCTTAAGTCTCCCAAAGGCGCATGCGGCCCCTTGCGATCGACCACTCTCATCATCCCAGGAAAGTCTGCAGCGGCATGTGAAACTAACCATGTACCTCGGACCCCGCACAACTCCGTTAGGGACCTTGCGATCGACGTCGCGGATTAGGGGAACAAAACGGCCATGATCCCAAACACGTTCGAGAAACGGGTGTGTGCAATGCACGCTGTTCTGGAACATGCGCTGAGTAGCGGTTGAGCCGATACAGGAGAACTGCGAAGTAGCCACAGAGTAGCCACCTATGATGCCTGATGCAAAAGCCACTGCCCATTGAACCGCCATCATGACAGCGACGGGATCGCTCACTGGAGCTGACCGAACCTGGCCTTCACAATTCGCATATTAATTCTTGATCCTGCCGACTCGGGATGATAGCCTCGAACCCCATTCGGCAGGAGACCCTTCCAGAGCAGCGTTGGGAATCCTCCAGGTAAGCCGAATGTTGAGAACGGAAGAGGTCGCGGCTCGAAGGATCCATGCAACTGTTTCGAGGCCTCCCCCCGCAGTATGCCCCTCGTCCCGGGTCCCTGCCTCCACGGAGCCTTTTATCACGGCAGCCATGACGATGAGCACCACAGCACACCTTCAGGGCGGGGTGGCAAGAGAGGGAAAGGGCAAGGAATAGGTAAAGTGAAACACAACGGATGAACACTGAGGGGGGGTGCAAGAAGGAGGGTAGGACGAGCGACAACGGAAGAGGAATGCGGGGGGGCCTGAGCCAAAGCAAGCGGAGCTGCGGGCTCAACGCGGACAGACAAACGGGGGCTGGGGCGGGTCAGGCCGGCCTCATCGTTCCGAGTCTGAATCCCAGAGTATCGACCAATCCTGCGGGGCATGCACTGACCTGAAAGTAGTGAACAATTATACTGTGGAGGCCAATCCACAAGAAACCTTCCAGGACGTCCATTGGTTTTTGGTGTGGGAACGTCATGCTTTCCATCGCAAAACTATCGAAACCCACGAAACCCAGGGCACCCTGGAGGCAAGGAGGGTGTTTCTTGGCACGGGCCTCCACTGTAACGCCAATTGCATCAATTCCCAGGTCACCTGACTCTGCGAACCGCACACCGCGGCGCGCGACGCGCAGTTCTCTTCGCGCCCTCGCGAGGCCACCGTGGAGAAGGGCAGCTCCCAGGCCGAGGCCGCGACGCGCGACGCGGGGTTGACTCAGAAGAGGGCCATTGGAGACGACCCGCCCGCGCCGAATCCGCCCAGAATCGGTGCCAGGACCCCTGCCGTCCATCCTGGCTCGCTTCGCGACTCGGGTCCGGCCGCGGCGGCGAGAAGCCTCTTCCTCCTCCTCCTCCTCCTCCTCCTCCTCCTCCTCCTCCTCCTCCTCCTCCTCCTCCTCCTCCTCCTCATCTGGAGTGCCAGAAGGATGAACAACACGCCACGAGGGCCGCCGTGGTCACACTGGCCCTCCTCGAGTGACCCGATGGTCCAGCGGCGCCAATCGGCAGGACGGCGCCAGTCTGCGGCACCACCGGGCAGGAGCGCACCCCAGCTCTGGGGGTATGGCTGGCGCGCACAACCACGGGTGCTATCACGAGGCCGTGCTTGGAGAGCGCGCACACGTCAGTTCTCGGGCGGCGTGCGCTCCGTTGGCTTGAGCCTACTCTGACTGAGTGGTAACAAAAACTTGTGGGGTATACCGTGGGGAAGGTAGAATGGGGCTGTCTGGCGCTGGGCGCGAGGTGGCTGACTCGCGTCAGGCGGTGGGGTTGGTTCGCGTGGGGAGGGCTGGAACGGGCTGTCGGGCGGAGTGGAATTGGGGGGGTCTTGAGCAAATTGTGAACTGTGAGCTGGAGTGGACCCCTAAGCAATAAAGTATTGCACTGTGGAGGTGTAAGATATGTGGTGCAAGCTATGCGGAGCAATTGATGTGGTAGAACATATAAGATATAAGCTTAGCGGTGCAAACTACGAGGTGCAAGCTATGTGGTGTAGCTGCTGTGGTGCGAGCGGCATGGTGTAAATTATGCGGCTCAGGCTACGTGGTATGAACTACGTGGTGTAACCTGTGCAGTGCAGTGCATGTGGCGCAAACTGCGTGGTGTAAGCCGTGTGGCGTGAGCTGTGCGATGCGAGCAGTGCCGTGCAGGCTGTGCGGTGCAAGCCTTGTTGCAAACGACTGCGCAGTGCACCAGCTGCGGCTGCCCCACGAGGCGCCCACGGGCGGCCACGGCCGGGCACCGGGCGGAGCCGCGGCACGCCCACCAAGCGCAAGAGGCGCCCGCGAGGCGCCCGCGAGGCGACTGCGGGCGGGCACCCGGCGAAGCCTCGGCACACCCAGCCAGCGCACAAGGCGCTCGCAAGCCCACGGACACACCCACTCAGCACGAGGCGCCCAAAGGGGCGTCTACGAGGCGCCCACGGGCGGCACCAGGCCAACGAGAGCTCTGCACACCCACCCAGCGCACGAGGCGACCACGGGCGCCCACGGGCGGGCACCGGGCGAGACCTCGGCTCACCCGCCCAGCGCACAAGGCGAACACGAGGCGCCCACGAGGCGGGCACCGGGCGAAGCCTCGGCACGCCCACCCAGCGCACGAGACCACGGCCCGCGGGCGGGCACCAGGCGACACCTCGCCACGCCCATTCAGCACGAGGCGCCCACGAGGTTCCGCCAAGTGGGAACCGGCCGAAACCCGAGCACACCCACCCGAGTACCTCAAAGAACCTGGTAAAACGGGTGCAAGCAATGCTTGGGGAGAACCCCGACTGCGACAGAAAGCCTCTATCGCTGGCGCGGCTGTGTGTACCCCGACATGATAATGGAGGAGGGCCAGAGGCCTCAGAGGCCTCCCAGATGCCCAACGGAGCCCAAAACGGACGATCCACTTTTGCGCTTGTGTTCTGCACGTCAGTCATTTCTAATCGTGCTCGTTTTTTTTTGCCGTGGCAATGCTTCGCGACGCAACGGCTGCACGCGAGCTGTGACGGCAGGCAGCCACTAAGCCACCCCGAAAAAAGCGCGGACCTCACAGTCTGAGAGCCGCACTGCTGCTTCGGCTACTCGCACACCCACCTGCGTGGTGTGCCAACCACCAAGCAACTTAGCCTTCGCGCAGGTGACCTGTCTCGAGGCCGTATGACCTCGGCAGCGGTCACCTAAGGATCGGAAAAAAAAAAAAAAAAACACGCCCTGAGCACCGCACCCCGCATCGGCCACAAAAGGTATACGGCCCCGCGCGGTACAGCTGGTGCCCCTGCGCTGGGTCTAGGGCCCTGCTGGCCACACTTTCACTAGCACGGGCTGGCCCCGAGCTTGGCCCCTCTGGAGGAGGTGGAGGAGCAGCAGGAGGGGCAGGCGCAACAGGCACGGGCGGCTGTGAGCTAGGCGTCAAGGCGCCTCGGCCTCGGCTGCGACTCCTATGCGCATGCGCGCCTACTCCACCGCCACGTCCAGAGCCACCCTCATAGATAGATCACTCGCTGCCGCACTCCAGGGCACCGCTGGCGCTTGCACTGCGCCGCTCGGGCCCCTTGCACCTTGGAGCGCGCGCCGCAGTCCAGGCACCTGTACCGCTGGTCCTCCGTGACGAAGTTGCGCCTCCTGATCGTCGGGTCCCGCGGCCGTCCTCGCGCCACAGGGCCAGCAGGCGCGCTCGGCCCTGCAGCATCGCCGCCACCGTCGGGGTCCTCGACGGGGTCGTCCTCCTCCATCTCGTCGTCGGCAGGCGCGGCTGCTGCTGCTGGCTGGGTCGCCACCCTCGCAGCCACCTCAGCTGCGGCAGCCACCTCCTCAGGCGATGCGCCTGCTGCCGCTGCCGCTGCCGCTGCCGCCGCCACAGCTGCCGCTGCCGTAGCCGTGGCATGCCCTGCCGAGGTCATGGCAGGCCTCGCCTCGTCAGCCTCGGGCTGCCGTCCTCGCAGCTGGGCCTCTCGTCGGCGCTGCGCCCGTGCCTCTTCTTTGGTGGGCAGCGCGACGTCCCCGAAGTCGCCGACCTCCACTGCCATGTCTGCCACGAAGTCCAGCACCTGCTGCACCGTCTTCCAGCGGTCCTGCCAGACGTCGATCTGCCACTGCGGCGGCATGGCCAGCTGCGCTCCTTTGACCGCCAATTCGTCGGCGATCTTGTTGCCGTGCACGTGGAACGAGTTCTGCCCTCTGCCATGCGACCGCACATGCACCACCGTGAGGCCATCCATGTTCGGGAATGTCTCGTCCACGACGTTCCAGATGCGCATCCAGATGTCGCAAAGCTCCTCCGCGGCGCCGTGCACCACTGTCGGCTCCTCCTCATGCCTCTCACCGCCATCTCGTAATCGGTGACCAGCGTGGTGGGGGGCATCGCCCTGCGCAGGGCATGCCAGATGGCCTGGAGCTCGGCACGCCCCACCGACAGATCAGCTCGTACTCCTGGCAGGCTACCGTATGCTCCACCAAGCGCCGTGTACTGACCTTCACCAGCAAGCTCCTCGAACCACATGTAGCCCCAGCCGTAGCCCTTTAGCGTGTTGGCGCCTTTGCCCGAGCCGTCAGTGAAGCAGACCCCCGAGATGAACGGCATGACGTCGTCCTCGCAGATGTCGTCGCCCTCTGCGTTGACCGAGGGGTACTGCTCGATCTGGGTGTCGCCCTCAACGTCATGGATGGGGGTGCGCCACCAGGCCGCAATTGAGCAGCAAGCTCTCGCCTGAGCCCGCCATGCGCTGCACAATGCCCGCATGCTTGTCGGCGAGCTTGGCCCTGCTCTCCTCGTGGGCCTCGCGGCGCCCGAAGCGGTGCCTCTGAGTGCCCGGCGGGCGCCTGCACTGCTGGCACATGCCGTCGGCTACGGTGCCGCGCTGCTGGAGCTCGGCCTGCGTGCAGTAGTCCTGCCCCACGTAGGCCTTGATGGCGCCTTGATGCGCAGCCCACCTGCGCTTCTTGAGCAGCGCCCTCACCGGTTCCAAAAACGGCATCGGGACCTCCTCGGCGATGCCCTTCTCTGTGGCCCACTTCGTGAGGACCTGCCGCTCGATGGCCCCCTCCAGCTTGTACCTGACCATCTTAGGCGCAATCGCGTGCCATGGCACATGGACGCCCGCTGGTGTGAGCAGCGTCCACGGCGCAGGCCATGACCAGCCGAGGTCGCGCAGGGTCCTCAAGACTGCCTCTGCAGGTCCTTTGACTGCCGACCATGCCACCGTGCCTGCCGTGGCCAGCCGCGCTGATGCCTTCCTCCATGCCGCGACCATAGCCTCCTCGTCCATGGCCCGACTCCATACCACCTCAGCCGACTTCACCACTGGCCGAATGGTGAGGCTCACCGCTGGGTCGGCCTCCTCGAGCCACAGGCGCAAGGTGCGATCCTTGCCCATGGCCTCGCCGCTCAGCGCCATCGACATGTTGATGCGAGCCCTCTCGATGAGCTTCGGCGGCGCTCCGATACAGGCCACCCCGTAGCGCATGGACGGCAAGAAGCCAAGCTTGGCGACCTTGGCCGTGCCAAAGCTGGCGCCCTGCTTCTTAAGGATGTTCAGCTTGGTACCCCTCGTGACCATGACCTCTGCGCGCTCCTGCTGCTTGGGCCGCCGCTGCGCGCCGACACCGCCCGTGAAGTCCACGCCCAGCTGCGCGCCCTCCTCTTGGATCTCCAGGCCCCAGTCCTTCGCCCAGAGCTTGAACTTGGCCTTGGCCTGCTTGTCTGCCGTGTAGACATAGAAATTTCTCTTCTTGGTGACGCCGTTCTTGTGCGTGGTGAGCGACAGAGGGAGGCCTTCTGCCTCAGCTGCCTGTATGTATGCCATCGCAGACTCCTTCGCCTCGTGCACCACCGCCTCCCGCTCGCCCTGCAGGTGGAGCGTGGTGTCGTCGACGTAGAGCTTGACGTGCCTCTTGGCCCCCTCCAGGCACGGCCTGGCAATGACCATGTCCAACAAGATGATGGTGAAACACTTGAGCGCCGGTGCACCACCACGACTGCCTGCGGCCGCTGCCGACCACGCACGCATCCGTGTAGAGGCCACCATACCATCCAGCGTAACGACCCTCTCCATAGTGAAGATCGAGATCATGAGGTGGAGCACCTGCTCTGACATCCCCAGCTTGCGCCCGTGCTCCCACAGGCGCCTCATGGTGACGTGCTCGAACGCCTTGGACAGGTCCTTCACCACAGCCGCGTTGATGTGGTCCTCTGGGCAGCTCTCGTCCCTGAGCATGAGGTCCCACATCGCGTCCTCAGCACCTTTACCTCTGCTAGCCCAGTCATAGGGTTGTGCGACTATCTCTTCCCATTTGCGATACTCATCTGCCATCAACGTTTCAACGACTCTAACCAGGGAGCACAAGAGGGCCAGCGGGCGGCGCCCATCCTCGTGCGGCTTCGGCACCAGGAAGTAGGCCAACAGCTCTACCTGGGTAGGCCAATGAACGTGGTGGAGCATGTACTCGGCGAGGTCGACCAGCGCCTGGATGCCCTCCGACGATAGCCACGTCCACCATCCCGGGTGACACCAGTCAGGGCCGATGCCAGTGCTTGTCTTGAACAGCCTGGCTGCCTCCCTGAACCGATCGGCCGGAACTCTGACGAGTGGTGCGGGGTAGACTCGTCCTTCCCAAGGTCGGTCGTGATCTCCTCGGCTGTCGGCCCCGTGCGAGGCCCAGAGCTGGTACCGCTGGTGCGCATGCCCATCCACCAGCGTCTACCCGTCGAGCAACTCCACCTCGTCCTTCTTGTAGTTCGCGATGGGCGCGGGGGGTCGCTCGGCATGGCGCCGGCGAGCCATGCGGCGCAAGAAACCAGCTGCACCCTTGCTGCCATCATTGAGGCGACCCCATCCACGCTTTGGCCCTCTCCTGAGCCACCGTACTCACTATCTTGTCGGCCTGCTTAAGGAGCCACCGCCGTATCTCCATGACTGCGGTGAGCAGCTCCTTAGCGCCATCCTCGTGCAGCCGCCAGTGTTCGATGTCGACGAGGAGGTGGTCCAGCCGCTGTCCCGTGGCCCCGAGCTGCCGCAAGCGGCGTCGCCCTCGGTGCAACGCCTTGCCTAGGCACTCGCGTGGCCATGCCACCCGAGCTGGGTCTGGGCGCTTCGCCCTGGCTGCTTGAGCGACCAGTGTGTGGCTGCCGATCCTGTTGGCCGCCCAGCGCCAGGCCGCGCCCTCCACCGTCTGCCCAACGCCATCCCTCGCCTTGGGGCCCAGGAGCGGCGTGAGCACCGTCTTCGGCGCATCGCCTCGGCCGCGGTACCGTGGGCGCTCCTCCTCTGGGATCTGGCAGATGCCCAGGAGCTCCTCCTCTGCCGTGCGCGAGACCTGGCGCCAGTCCAGGTCCTCCTGGTCGAGCCTGCCCGTGCAGTTGGTCGGCCACAACGGCCGCTGCTGCGGCTGCGGCGCACGCCCGACTGGCAGCGCCATGGGGAAGGCACGCGGCTTGATGAAGCGCAGCACCTTGGCCTCCCTGGGCTGCTTCAGGCAGCGCATCCGCACTGGCCAGCGCGGGGGGGCCTCACTGTCCCCCACCCTCTCTGCCTGGCTGAGGGCAGGGCTGAGGCCCTTGGCGACCACGAAGTAGTCGATCTCGCGTCCTCCTCCGATGCTGTCGCACGTAACCTTGCCAGTGGTTTGGAGCACTCCTCCCACGTCTTGGAGCCAGCCCGACTCGTGCAAGGTGCGGGGTTCCAACTGCGCGTCCATGCCAAGAATCCAAGGGGCAGCATGCATCTCTGCGAGCTCGCCGATGCGGTCCAGGATCAGCAGGTTGCGTTCTGACAGCCCACCGCCTGTCCACAGATGCCGAGAACAGCAGCGCACCTCCTGTGCCCCACAGCGGGCATCGGGCCGCACATATGCGCCCTCGCATGCCTGTGGGTGAGCAGTTCCGCTCCTGCTGGCCGTACGCGTAGGTGAGGCCGATGGGTTTGGGCACCATGTCGTAGGTCCCAGCACTGCGGCCCCCGCGAGCTCCCGTCGCACTGGGCGCCATCGCAATCGCCCATGCTCGCTTGCAGGTCGCTGCCTGCACCTCCTCCTTCCAGTTATCGTCCAGCCTGTGCTCCTGGCCCAGGATGCAGCTCGGCTTGGTGATGTGCTCGTCAACGAACGCGACGCCCTTGGCCCACGTGTTGCAGTTGGCGGTGTAGATCTCAATCCCCTTCGAGAGCTTGCCTCACCCTCGTTTGCGCCTGCCCTGTTCTGCATGCGCTGCGGTGGCACCACCTCCAGGTGCTCTCGTCGCGGCGGGCCTGCCCCGCGCGCTGTTTACCCTGTGGGTGCACCAGGGGGGCAGGCTCCAGCAATAACCTTGGCGACTGAGCCCAGCCCCTCGCGCCGTTTACCTCGCGGGTGCCCCTGGGGGCTGGGACTTGCGTTCTAGGCTGGCCCTCAGGTAGCGCCCCGCGTGGGCTCTCATGGCCCCCGCACTCCTCGTCGGCCCGCGGCTGGCCTGCGCTGTCAACCACGCCGTGAACGCTTTGTTGCCCCAACGGGTGCGCACTCGCAGAGCTTGCGCACGCAATCAGCCACAGAAAGGTTGTCGCCCATGTTCTGCGCCATGACGCCCTTGTCGATGCCGATGCCCTTGCACCAGTCCTCGAAGAACTTCTCCTGCGCTGCTGCATCGAGGCCCATCGGGTCCGTGGCCTCGGGCTCCGCTGGTGGGCCCCCTGGCACTGGGGCGCTGGCGAAGTGGTCCTTGTACTTCTCCCGCAGGGCCCGCTCGCTCTCATGGGCCTTCCTCTGGGCGTCCTTGAGCTCATTGCACGCCTGCATGAACTCGGAGTCCTCCTTCGCCCTGTCGGTGATCTCCGACGCCTTGGCCGACATCTGCTGCAGCAGCACCACGCGCTTCTCGGTGAGGGCGCGCAGCTCGTCGGCACGCTCCTGTACGTGATCTTGCTCAGCACCGCGCGCAGCTGGTCATCCAAGCCCTTGTCAGGCTTGGCCGCCTCAGCTGCCTGGGCCGCCTTGACCTTGGCGCCCTGCGCGGCTGCCAGCACCTCCTGGTCCACCACGCCTTCCTTGTGGAGCTTCTCGCAGAGCCGCGCCAAGTCCTCGACGTGGTTCGCTGCCGGCGCCTGGACAGCTGCCCTTGGCCTCGGGGCTGTCGCCAGAGCTGGCCACTCCACTGGCTGCGTCCACCAGCCTTGGGCCCTCGGCTGCGTCCACCGTTGTGGCTGCCGTTGGCCCTGCTGCTTCGGCACCCGCTTGCGCTTGCTCTGCTGCCACTGGTACGTAACCACCGATGACGTCATGGGGGCCGCCTTGCCACAGCCACGGAACCAGGTCCTCCACGGGTGGTTGTCGGTTGTGCCGCACGCACACGCCCACAACGCGCCAGGGTTCCCATCGGCTCCCATGCGCTCAAAACTCGATTGTGATCAGTTGCTTTGGCCTCAAAGCGCGAGCCCCCTCGCGCTCAGAAGTCGCCGACCGAGGCCGACTCGCGGTCGTCGGGCGGTTCATAGCCTTGAGCCAAAATAGATACGGCTAATCGTGCTCGTTTCTAATTGTGTTCGTTTCTAATTGTTCCTTGCCCCCCAGTGGCCAGGAAGAGGCCCAGGATTATGTTGCTCCTCTCGTACTTAAGAACCACATCCCAGAAATAACTTCGAGCACCAGGAAAAGTGTCGAAAGAGTGTTGAAACAGTGTCGGACGAGTGTCTCCCAGAGCCCGACACGTGCAAACCCTCGGGTTTCGGTACTTTTAAGGTGATCAAGGCTAAAGTAGGTTGGAACATCATGAGCCCAGGATAGAACAATTAGACATGAAAGGATCCTAACCCCGCAAGAAACCAAAGAACCCCCGAAGAATTAGACATGAAAGCGTGCAAGTGCACATGGACCTCTGAGATGCAAGTGCACGCTTGCGCTGCATTTTCCGTTGGACCTGCACGTTGGATCTTTACCTTGGATCGTTGCGTTGGATCTTTGCTGAAGGGGAACTGGGACACACAAATAAATAGACACAAATAACCAGATTCCCCATATGTTCCCATACTCTGTGGGTTTTCGTCTTCCCCCCCACTTCCCATATTTTCGCATATTTTCCTGGGGAACGACGATTGATGGTGTCTGCGTGTTTCTTTCCCTCCTGATTTGCGTCGGATCTTGCAGCTGACCGCGGTCGGCGGGGGCGGGGGCGCCGGCGGCCTCGGGCACCGGAGAGCGGCGTGCTCAGACCAGGCGGCTGCGGCCACTCCAGGCCGACGAGGCGGGGCAGGGCGGCAGCGCGCCGCGGGGCGGGCCACCAGCGGGGGAGCCGAGGGCGAGCATGCCGGGCACTCCGCGGGGAGCGAGCATGCCGCGAGGAGCTCGGAGGAGGGAGACGGGGGAGGCCGCGGGGCCGGGGGCGGCGCAGGCGGCCCCTCTCCGGGAGGCGGCCCCCCTCCGGGAGGGGCCAGGACCTCGAGGGGAGGCGAGGCCCTGGCTCGAGGAGGAGGTGGAGGGAGAGGCGGGAGGGCCCGGGGAGCTCGAGCAGGAGGCGGAGGCCGGAGGAGGAGGAGAAATAGGAATGTCTATGAATGCACTGAGGTATCTTCACCCCGGCTCGCTTGGGGCCCCGATATATTCGACCCTCTTGGGGAAGCCAAAAGGTACCGATACCGTACCGCTGCTCCCCGGACCTCTCCCGGGGTGCGTTCCGACCAGAATTCCGAGGCGAATTCAGCGGTGGCGACGAGGGCCTCCGAGGAGGCCCAAAAAGGGGGAAACGAGGAAAAGGTGGAGGTATGGGTACCTTTTCCTCCTCTGACCTCTGCTGCCTCTTCCTTGGAACAGGCTGCCACAAGCATCTGCCTGAGGCTGCGAGCGAAACGGAAGAAGAGGAGGAGGAGGAGGAGGCCCGCCTGGCACCCGCTCCGCGGCGGCGGGGGGGCGGCGGAAGTCTGCGGCGAGAGAGCGCGGGGGGCGAGGCGCCCCAACCGCTTGCTCCTCAGCACCGCCCTGAGCCTGGACCAGCCGCCCTGCACCTACGCTCCGCGCGGGAGGGCAAGATCGTCGGAGCATCGGGAGCGAATCGGAACGGGCCGGCTGGAAGCGGTACCCGTGGGAGGGAGTAGGGCGTGGACGTCGGCGGCGTCGCCGCCGCCTTCGCGCCCCCGTGCGCGGGAGCAAACGCGCGGGGAGGGCGGAGGGGAGGGATGAGGACGATGAGAAGGGAGAAGGAGGGAGGAGGAGGAGGAGGAGGAGGGCGAAGGGAGGAGGACGACGAGGACGAGAGAGGGAGGGAAGAGGAGGAGAAGGAGGAGGAGGAGGACGAGGAGGAGGAAGTGGAGGAGAAGGAGGAGGAGGAGGAGGAGGGAGTGGAGGCGGAGGAGGAGGAGAGGGGAGGAGCAGGAGAGGTAAACAACATACGGTGCAGGAGGGAGGAGGGAGGCACAGGCGCGAGTCCGAGACAGCAGCCCCAGAGCTCTATCGGCAAGAGGGTCCTCGGGGAGGAAAGGTTGATCGCCCCACAGGGGATGAGGACGAGGAGGACGAGAATAGTGAGGACGAGGAGGACGAGAGTGAAGCAAAGAGCGAAGAGCCAAAAGGACAGAGCAGAAGAAGCACGCGAGCAAATACGAACAGAGCACAATGCCGCCAAGACTGCCGACCGGAGATTGTCAAGCAGGACGAAGACGTCGAGGATTGAGGACGAGCAGGGGGATACGGAAGAGCAAGGGGGGGCGAGGCTCGAGAACGCGAAGGGGCGCCGCGAGGGGGTGGAGGACGGGGGGGGACGAGGACCTGGACGAGGGAGAGGGGCAGCACGGGAAGGAAGGGGAGGAGCGGAAGGAGGGGGAGGGAGGAGAAGCTGTTCTACGCGCGTTGTCGATCTGTCTTTCCCTGGACCAATTGCGGGGCGTCGGCCTTGTTATCGTGGACCCCACCTGCGTCAATCTCGGTTTCGGCAGCTGGATCCCGCCTTCGCCAGCACATGCAGGAGAAAAAAGAGGAGCAGGAGGGGGAGATGGTCTGTGGCATGGGGTCGAGCCTTCAGACGAACGGTCCCTTCTTCGCCCTCCCGCATCTTCCACTGTCGATGTGTCCGATCTTTCTCAGTGGGTAGAGCTCCACACTCGCCACCAAGCCGTTCCAAGCCATGCCAACACAGATGTGTTCCTGCGTGGTGGCCAGTTTTGGGATGGGTTGATCGCAAGGATGTCCAACAGCGGGGAAATACTTTTTTTTCTGCCTGCTTCCACTGTGTACAAGCCCATCACCGTCCTCCCGAAAGGGCAAACTTGTTCAACACAGTACTGTACAGCAGGCTCGCTCCCACCATAGTTCAAGAAGCTCTCGCAGGAACAATTCGGGTTCCGCCAAGGGCGAGGGTGCGCCGACGTGGTTCACATTGCCCGAACAGTAGTGGAGGCATATTTTGAATGGGGAGAAGGACTTTGCATAGCAACGCTGGACGTGGAAAAGGCTTTAGGTCGTGTGCGTCATGCCGCCCTCTTCGATGTTCTTCTGCAGCTCGGCGTGGGGGCGTCTGCCCTTGGGGTGCTTCGCAGACTGTGCTTCGGAGTTCGGAGCTGCGTATCCCGCTGGCCAGGACAAGACAGCATGTGTTTTGCTGTCTGCTGGGGTGTACGACAGGGTAACACTTTGTCTCCAGTGCTGTTCAACTTGCTTCTTGACGGGGCTTTTTGGCAGGAGGGGACGAGCTTTGGCAGAGAGGGGGGTATGATACTCAATGCGGATGTACACCAGGGCCATGTGGCGCTAGAGGCCGCACTCTCCGTTGAAAGCTTGGAACGAGGCCAATGCTTGAAGTTTCCAGGCGCCCATTTGTCGATGGTTGATGTGACTGGCGCGGACAAAAAAAATAATCGCAGCGCCGCATGCTGGAATACGTTTTGGGAGATGCAGAATCTGCTCTTAAACCATTCGTACTCCGTAAAGAAGAGGTTGCGCCTCTCCAGCAGCACGGTGGCCGGCACTGTCTTGTGGGCTCCCGAATCGTGGTCTCCGCGAGTGCAGGAGTTCAGACGGAACAAAGCCACACTGAACACAATGCTGAGGAGGATTGTGTGGTGCAACCGCACACCTGAGGAGCCATGGGTAGAGTGGACCCAATGTATAATCAGGAAGGCCAGATCAGAAGCAAGACATTATGCAGTACAAGACTGGGTGGTGACACATTTTCAGCGACAGCGGTGGTGGGTTGGTCACGGCGCTCGCATGCCTCATCTAGAAAGGGTGGGGAAAGTCACGAGGTGGCGAGATTCGTTAGGACAAGCGCCTGTCCTTAACGATGATCCGAAGCCACTCAGACCATCTAGCCGGCCCTGGATGGAACTCGAATCGTCAACGAGGAAGCTCTGCTCCGCATCCGGTTTTGGAGAGTGGCAGGTCTTGGCGCAGGATAGGGCTCAAGCCTTGACAAGGGTACCAGTACACGGAGAACTTTCTCGACTGGGCCGGGCCCTGGAAACGACAGGGCCGTTTTTTTTACCAGTTCCGTATTGCCGGGTCCGACGCCGTTTCTTTTCCGGCTCCGTCGCCGCTTTTTGACCCGTTCCGGCTCCGGGTCCAATCCTGGAACCGTTTTTTTGCCGTTGCCGGTCGCCGTTTTTTTTGCCGCGTCCATTGTCAAGGGGCATTTTTTGGAAACGGTGAAAAAACGGCCCTGCCGTTTCCGGGGCCCACAAAGGGAAGAACACACACAGACACAATTAATCGTCGATTCCCAAGACAATATGGGAAACTATGGACAATAGGGGGGGAAGACGACAATCCAGAAAACATGGAGAAATGTTGTGAATCCTGAGAATTGTGCGTATTTATTTGTGTCCCAAGGCCCCTTCAGATATTTTCAAGGGGCCTTTTTTCGGAAACGGCAAAATACGGCCCTGCCGTTTCCGGGGCCCACTAAGTGTGGGCCCACCAAGGAAAGTCCTCAGGAGTACCTTTCGTGGTCTGCACGGTATGTTTTCAGAGCATGTCTGGCTGAGGCTGTCTTGTTTTAACACATCGGGCCGATGTTCTAAGAACCATATCGTGGTTATTCGAACGTTGTTTGGTTCTAAGAATATGTCGTGGCAGGCCTATAGGAATGCCGGGGCGGTCGGTCACTGCGCAAAGAGGGAACAGTAGGTCTTCGATCATGGACCCCACGTTTAACGCAACCCTCCAGCTTTCGCGCCGAAGACCGCTGGAAACCGCCGAAGGCCGCCGGAAACCGCCGAAGATCATCAGAAGACGCCGAAGACCGTCCGAAGACGTCCGAAGACCGCCAAAGACGGCTCAGGAGAGATGGGTAGCAACAAGAGGTCCATCTTTGTTATTCGCACATTGCTTTCAAGGGGCATTTTTTCGGAAACGGTGAAAAAACGGCCCTGCCGTTTCCGGGGCCCGATCCTGGCCAGGTGCCGCCCCGCGAGGGCCCTTCGGCGGCACGTGCTCCTTGCGTCCATGGCCTGGGCAGGCTTGGTACCCCTGGGCTGTGCCGGTGTTGTCCCTTTCCTGGGAGGGGTGCCTGGGCAGGTTTACTGCCCTTGGGCTGTGCCGGCGTTCTCCCCTTTCCTGGGAGGGGTGCTGGCTGTTCCTCCCCTGCCGCCTTCGAGCGCCGCAACCTCATCACTCCCTTCTCGTCCTGGCACTGAGCCCCCTGCGTTGTGTCGTAACTGCTCCTCCCCCTCCTCATTATCATCCTCACCTTCCTGGTTCATCGTAATCATCACCACCATTAGAAACAACTTCAATCATCTCATCCACACCCTCCTCCTCCTCCGTCTCATATGCCTCCTCCTCCACCTCATCATCATAATCATAATCATAATCATCATCATCATCATCATTATCATCATCATCAACATCATCCTCAACATCATCAGCATCATCATCATCCTTATCATCACCATCACCACCGTCATCACCATCCGTATCATCAGAAACATCATCATCCGTCTCCTCCTCCTTCTCCTGGTCATCATCATCACCACCATCCTCATCATAATCATCAGCATCAGCATCAGCATCAGCACCAGCATCATCATCATCATCATCCTGCTCATCATCATCACCATCATCATCGGCATCAGCATTATCGTCATCATCATCGTCGCCATCATCGTCATCATCATCATCACCGTCATCACCACCACCACCATCATCATCCGCATCATCATTGCCATCATCATCATCATCATCATCATCATCAACATCATCATCATCATCAGTATCATCATCATCATCATCATCATCATCATCATCATCATCATCAGCACCATCATCGTCATCGTCATCCTAATCATCATCACCATCACCACCATGACCATGACCACATCATCATCTCCATTTCCATCATCATCAGCATCAGCATCTTTAGCATCATCAGCATCATCCGTTGCAGCATTATGATAATCATCATCATCATCAGCATCACCAGCACCATTAGCATCATCACCATCATAATCATCAACAGCATCATCAGCATCATCAACATCAGCATTACCATCATCAGCATCACCATCGTCATAAACATCACTATCAACATCATCATCATCAGCATCATCAACATCATCATCATCATCATCATCATCATCATCATCATCATCATCATCATCGCCGCCACGGTCATCGTCATCACCATCATCCATCGCCATCTTCACATTCCTTGTTATCCTCCTGTCGCGCTCCTTCCGCCTCGGCGGCCGAGGGACGGATGCCTCCTAAACACAGGTCGAGCCCCTTAGTGCAGCTCTATCCTGCATCTCGGACAAATGCTGCATCATCATCATCAGCATCGTCATCCTCATCCTCATCCTCATCCTCATCCTCCTCCTCCTCATCATCATCAGCATCAGTATCAGCAGCATCATCCTCCTCCTCATCCTCACCACCACCACCACCACCACCACCATCATCATCATCATCATCATCATCATCATCATCATCATCATCATCATCATCATCATCATCATCGTCATCGTCATCGTCATCATCAGCATCAGCATCATCATCATCATCATCAGCATCGCCGCCATTACCATCGTCATTACCATACGGATGCCCCCTAAACACAGGTCGAGTCTCCTAGTGCAGCACTACCCTGCATCTCGGGCAAATCCTGTGCAGGAGTCGGGCACCACAGCTCGGGCCCCATTCACGAATGGCTCCAAGCATGGAACAGCACGATCCGAGCATACGTGTTCCTTCCTTCTCACTGACGAGGGGAGGCTGGGGGCCGCACGAGTGGGGCCCGAGCAGTTCGGGTCGCGGGATCGCGCCGCCTCGCCGATAAATCACCGATGCGTCGGCGACGTCAGCATGGAGACCGACGGGCTCCAGACCGCGCCGCACCGCCGACGCATCGGCGATGCGGCGTGATCCTCCGACCTCATCTGCTCGGACCCCGTGCAGCACTGCGCAGCTGCCCTGGCGCTCTGGTTGAGAACTGTACGGTCGGGAGCTTTTGCATAGCGTGTCGCCGCGGTGGCCCCGGCGACACGCTATGCTCCGCTCCGCGGGAGGTGAAGTTCAGAAAAGCTCGACACGTTGACGCTTGGAATCTGGAACGTGGGTAGCGTGTCGCACAGAAGCGTCGTGGGCCAGATCCGGCGGACCGACACGCTGTCCACAGTGCCCGACCGTATCAAGTGCTGGCTAAGCTTCAATCGTTGCTGCAGCTTGCGATCTGCTGACGTATTGCGCACAACTGTCGTCACCTGATCCCGGCGCACGGCGGAGGCGGACGGCTTGATCTCCTCTGGCTCGTCGCTCTCCTGGCGGGAGGGGCGAACGGAAGCGGGCCGAGAGACCGAGCCGTGACACGGCGACGAGCCTGGGGGGGGGAAGTGAGAAGAGGCGAGCCTTCTCAGAAGGCTTGGAAGTCCTCCGGTTTTCCGAGGAGTCTCCGAATCCTCCCCCGAAGACGCAGGAAACTTCTCAGAAGGCGCGAGGGCTTCCGAGAAGCCGCATCGCCTTCTGAGAAGGACTGCCCCGTCTCCCTTCCCCCTGGGCTCGGAGGGAGGTTGGTCTAGACGCCCGCATGTGAACCCCAGTCTCGCGGGAACCCAAGACACGGGTGGGGGTCCAGAAGTGTGAGCGGACTCAGGCGAAGTAAACCCCACCCAACCGTTGAACCCAGACCAGTCCAAACCGATGGGTGGCAGAGGTATGGTACGGATTCCATCGATTATCCTCAGCGCCGCGCTCAAAATCCTGGGAGGCCCTTTCTAATTGACACTGATTCGGGCCAGTGCTACGCATACGCTGTCTTGCCCTTGCTCCCATAAACTTCAATTCGAAATCCACCAGGGCCGCACGAAAAATGAACTTGAAACCTTCGGAACACCAGCAAGGAAGAAGGTCGGCTTGGCTCGCGCTGGCGTCGCATAAATGAGATCGCAGGGAATCGTACGTGTCAGGAATGTGTTCGTCTCATCTCACATCCTCCTCCTCCGCATCATGGTATCATATGTTCCCTACTCCTTCCCTACTTCCCGTCTCCTCCCTCTTTCCACATCCTCTTCTAACAACCGCTTTCAGCTCCTCCTCCTCCTCCTCCTCCTCCCACGCTTCCCCCTCCTCCCCTTCCTCCTCCTCCATTCCTTGTCCTTACATATAACTTCTCCCTGTCGCGCCCCGAGGCAAGTGTTTAGAGCGGGCAGGGCGTTTCGACTGAGACTTCCTCACGATTACAGCCCTGGAGCTTCAACATTGACAACAGCTTCACGGATTGAGGGCGGGTGGTTTTTAAACTGTGGCTCTCGCCCTAGCGCGGCGCATATTCGTTTTACGTAAACGTGTGCAAGAGTGTCACGGATTCTTCCCATAATCAACGTACCAGGAGTGGTGTTTGGGAAGGGTTCAGGATGATGAGGGCGCAACAGTTACGTTGATTCGCGGTGGTGAAGTCTCAGGGATGGCGTCCTGACACGATTCAGGATCGTCAAGACGCAACAGTCAGGCTGTTCCATGACGATGGAACCCCGAGAACAATACAATAGTTTGGCATGCTTCATGGTCTCCAAATGGTTGTCTTCCAACGAGGCAGTTCCCTCAGTGGAAATGAATCGTTGTAGTGGCCTATGAAGAGGGAGCTTGGAGGGAGGGTGTATTACGACATCGTCGATGGTCCTTGGGTTTACAGTGGTCCTCCTCCTCCTGCTCCTCCTCCTCCTGCTCCTCCTCCTCCTCCTCCTCCTTCTCCTACTCCTCCTCCTACTCCTCCTTCACCTCCTCCTCCCCCTCCCCCTACCCCCCTTCTCCTCCTCCTCCTCCTCCTCCTCCTCCTGCTCCTCCTCCTCCTCCTCCTCCTCCTCCTCCTCCTCCCTCCTCCTGTTGCTCCGCCTCCTCCTCCTCCTTCTCCTCATCTCCTCCTTCTGTTCAGTTCAGTTCACTGCGGAAGCAGGCGTCAGTGCCGCCCGCCCCAAACAACAGGAAGGTTCAGGCCTCGTGGTCTTCATGGGCCTCGGCCTGAGCAGACAAGGTCAGACCAAACCTGGAGCTCAGATGCGTCCCACTTCTACTGCCAGAGGCCACCAGCAAATCCATCACCTCCCATGATCTGGACGCCCTGCACGACGAACGAATGAGGGCGACCAGAGGTCCGAAAGGGAGGGGGAACAGTGGCATGTGACCGTCCGCCCTCGAAACTGCCGAGGCCAGCCCGGGGCACTCCCTTTGGCACACCTCGGCGTCTTCTGTCGGAGGTCCTTGATGCGCGGACGGCCTGGGCACAAAGACACCAGAGAGGCTACGCCTGGCCAAGCAAATCCACCACACTTCAGACACGAGACCACCCGCCCACCCACCCCGCCCGAATTCCATCAGAGACGAAAATCTTCGCCTCGCGCAACTTGTGGCACTGCAGACGGGTTCCCCGCCTCACCCCACTCCTCCTTCTCATCATACTCCTCTTCTTATCCTTCTTCTCCTTCCCTCTCCAACCCTTCCCTCCTACTCCCACTGACCTGCTTGTCCAGTATCCTTTCTCCCTACTACACCACCCACTCTCCCCTGGTCACCTCTCCTCCTCCTCCTCCTCCTCCTCCTCCTCTTCTTCCTCCTCCTCATCCCCCTGCCCCACCTCCTCCCCCTCCTCCTCCCCCTCCTCCTCCCCCTCCTCCTCCTCCTCCTCTCGAACACATCAAAAACTACACTTAGCAAAACTTCACCCAGTTGCGGGGACCAGGGGGGGCAATCAAAATTCGGTTAGGCGCGCTGGTCGGTCTGGGTGGACGGGCACCGCCTCGCGACCTACGACGGGGAGCGCTGGTCATGCGAAACACGTGGGGCGCCAAGCGTTGCAACTATCAGCATGTTTCACGGCGGGGCTAAGCGGCTGCTGCAACAGGACATGATAACGCGAACTGCCGCTTCATCCGTGGAGGGGGGATCCAGCACGGAAAAGAATTCGAAGGCGTGGGGCGTCTGGCCAGGCATTTACTTACGGCACGCATAGAACCGATCGCGGCTACAAAACTTGGCGAGACACGGGGATGAGGTGGAAGTGGAAGGACATAATGAAAGAGGCTGCTAAGGCACGGAGACACGAGACGAGGGAGGAGATCACGCCTGAGGCAAAGCGGCGCCCCAAAGCACAGAAAACACTGGGGTCATCATACTGGGGCAGAGGCGGGGAAGGGCAGCGGGCAGTGCGAGGCGGAAAAGGACAGCGGCCATGCAGGTGGTTTCGCTGAGCCTGAGGAAGTGGGAAGTCGGCGGGGAGCGGCCCTGGGGACGGGGCCTCGGAGATGGGCAGCACGGGCAGCCGATGCTTCGCCAGAAAGGGGACACGTACAGAACTACACTTAGCGGCCGGGGCACGGTACACGTCGGGAGCGCGAGTCGCGCCCCCGACATGTACCCCGCCCCGCTGGCTAGGTGTAGTTATATGAGTGCTCTGTTTTGTGAGGATGTCCCTGGCGAAACCAGCACGTACAGAACTACACCTAGCGCCTGGCTCAGTGTAGTTCTGAACGTGCTGGATGTCTCGAGCGGGGCGAGCACGTATAGACCGGCACCTAGCGAAAGTGGCAGGGTACAGGTCGGGGGCGTCGCCGCGCCTCCCCGCAGAGTCAGGAGGGCAGGGGCCACTGAAATCCCAGCCGCCCTCAGGGCGGCGGAGGCTGGACGTCCCAGGGATGCCCGAAAGGGACCCAACTGCGGCCAAGGGCACGCAACGAGGTCCCTGGGGGCCCCAAGAGCGCTCCACGACCTCCAGCCGCAATCTGAGGTCGTAGCGTCTTGGGGGTCTCCTGGAGCGCTTGGCGGGGTCTTGGATTCTTCCTGGGGCGCTCGGGAGGTCCCAGGAGCGCACCTGCTCGCCACGACATCTGGTCTCGATCTGGAGGTCGTGGCGTCTGGGGCCCCCGTGGGGCGTTTTGGGGGCACTGGGGGTTCCTCCTGTAGCCCATCATGGGTCCCACGAGCGCTGGTGGTCGCTACGACCTCTGACCTTGTTCTGGATCCCTCCATCCTCTTTGCCCCCCCCGTGATCAGGGCAACTCGCCTGGTGACGATGTTTCGAGGATTTTAAAAGATATGCGCGCTCCGCCTCCGCCTCCTAATCGCGAGTTGTTATTTCTGATTCCACGCCGACTCTGGCTAGCGACGTCGAGGCCCTCGCAAATCCGACAAACGCAATGACCCCCCTCGAATGGCGGGCAAAACAAACTTTGGAACGATAGCCCAAAATTAATTTTGAAATTTCGGGATCCGCGAGAGAAACTAATACACTCGCCCAAAGTGTAGCTCTCTATCTGTCCGATCCTCCTCCTCCTCCTCCTCCTCCTCCTCCTCCCCCTCCTGCCCCCCCTCCTCCTACTCCTCCTCCTCCTCCTCCTCCTCCTCCTTCTCCTCCTCCTGCCCCTCCTCCTCCTCCTCCTCATTCTCCTCCTCCCTTGTTTTCTCTCACTCCTCTCTCCGTCCCTCTTCCTTCTCTTCCCTCCTGCCTCATCCCCCTTCTCCTGCTCATCCACCTCTTGTTCCTTTTTTATCCCCCGTCCTCCCCCGCCTCCTCCTCCTTCGCCTCCCCCTCCTCCTCCCCCTCCTCCTCCTCCTCCTCTTCCTCCTCCTCCTCCTCCGAATCCTCTTCATCAGCATCGACACCATTAGAATCGTCATCGCCATCACTAACACAACCACCATCATCATCTACTCATCAGTATCATCGTTGTTGCCGTCCTGATCACCATCCGCATCGACACCCTCATAATCAATCGTAACATCGTTACAGTTACCGACATCAGCATCATCAGCATCACCATCAGCAGCATCAATCATGGTCACAAACATCAACATCATCAGCATCAGCATCACCACCATCATCATCATCATCATCATCATCATCGTCATCATCATCATGATCATGATCATGATCATGATCATGATCATCATCATCATCATCATCATCTCATCATCATCATCATCATCATCATCATCATCATCATCATCATCTCATCACCATCACCATCACAATCATAATCATCATCATCATCATCATCATCATCATCATCATCATCATCATCAGAGTTTACGGCCCTTGGGAACATTCGGCGGCGCGTTTCGAACCAGGGGTTGGGCCCCCCCAACACTAGGCGCCATCGATCTGAACCAGGGCCCCTCCCCCCTAACCCCCTTCCCTCCCGAAGCCCCCCCCGCCCCCCCCCGGCGCTGGCGCTGGCGACGGCGCTTGCGGGCCGCCAGCAGCGCGACGGCGGGGACGCAGCGACGATGACCAGAGGCAGCCCAGGGGGGTGGGGGGGTCCAAACTACCACCCCCCGCGCGCCGGCGCCGGCGCCGGCGCTGGCGGCGGCCAGCAGCGCCGACGGCGGGGTCGCAGCGACGATTGACAGATAGAGCCCAGAGGCGCAGAGGGAACACACACAAATCGCCATATCGAGCCCTCGCCCCCCAGCCCCCCGCGCGCCGGCGCCGGCGACGGCGCTGGCGGCGGCCAGCAGCGCCGACGGCGGGGACGCAGCGACGATTGACAGAGAGAGCCCAGAGGCCGCAGAGGGAACACACAAATCGCCATATCGAGCTCTCGCCCCCCCAGAAGCCACCAAGAGGCCCTTAGGAAGGTCCACGAGTCTTCACACATGCTCCTCAGACGCCCCCTAGACCCTTCTGACGAGACCTCTAACTCAAGGCCAAACGCGGTGGCGGGAAGAGCCGGAGGCCACACCACCACCACCACCACCACCACCACCACCACCACAAACCACAACACCACCACAACCACCACAACCACCACCACAAATACCACAACATAAAACCACCACACCATTACCAACACCATCAGCAACACCGTCACCACCACAACCATCAGCACAACCCACCACCAACACCACCACCACAAACCACACCACCACCACCACCACCACCACCGCTACCACCACCACCACCCATCGCTCACCACCCACCACCACCACCAGCACCGTTACCAACAGCACCACCACCACAAACCACCACGCCACCACCACCACCACCACAACCACCAAGAACACCACCACCGAAACAACCCACCACCACCACCGCCTACCACCACACAACCACCACCACCCCAGCCACCACCACCACAACAACTCACCACCACCACCACCGAAACAACCCCCCACCACCACCACCGCCGCCACAACAACAACCCACCACCACCACCACAATCTACCACACAACCACGCCGCCACCGCTGCAACCACCACCACCACCACCACAACCACAACCCACCACACCACCACAACCACAACCCACCACACCACGACCACCACCGCCACCACCACCACCACCAGCACCACCTCCCAAAACCACCGCCACCACCACAACCGCAACCAACACCACCACAAACCACCACACCACAACCACCACCACCACCGCCACCACCACCATCACCACAACAACAACCCACCACCACCACAAACCACCACGCCTCCACCAAACCACCACCACCACCAACCACCACCAAAACCACTACCATCACAACAAACAACCACACCACCACCACAACCACAAACCACCACGCCACCACCACCACCAGCACAACCCACCACCACCATCACAAACCACCACCACCCACCACAACCACCACGACCACCA